TGGGCCCAGCTTTGTGACTTTGGACAAGTTACTTGATCTCTCTGAGTTATAATACTATAAGAGAGAATAATAAATCCTTTGTAAAAGAGGATAATACAGTAAATAAGATATATGTTGATATGTTTGTGGGTGGAAGACAGTCCTCAAGCATTGTATGTTCCACGCTTAAAAATTATCTTGCACATATTAAGCATTCAGTAAATATTGCCTATTAAGAACTATTACAGTAATTCTGCAAGCCTAGTATTGTTATACCCACTGCATAAATGTGGAAATGGGTTCAGAGAAGGTATAACTTATGTAAGAATACACAGTGAATGGTAGAACTAGGATTTAAATACATCCATTTAAATCCATCTTAAAAAATATTAAACAGTTTCTTATCTCCAGATTCTCACTTATCATATTGCCTTGAAAAGAGGGAAAAGGGCAGAAAAATGAAAGGAAAAAAATACCTTTTAAAAATCATCCTCTTATTCCCATACTAAAACCCTCTCCTTTTGCCTGGATTTTTAACCCTCTAAATATCTTGTGTAATGTATGTCAAAATTGCTATGTGAAATGTATTTTGGGTTTCTAAGACAAACAGTGTTTCTTTAGACTTGTAAGGAGGTATCTGAACAATTTCACATCTTTCAAGTTTTCTTGAAACTTGTTAAAAAACATTTTATCATCCCTAGCCCTTGAGAATTGCCCATTTTAAATTTGTTTTCTAGAGGCTAAAAAAGTTTTGTTTCCAAAACTTGCTGGAAAAATTTGTGCCAGTAACCAGCACCACTATATTCTTTTTTTCTTTTTTAATGACACTATTATTCTTACCTATTATTCCACTGATGCCAACTTATTAGACCCCTGAAATGGAATCAGGTGTTTTTAGTATATATAATGGTGCTTCCTTATCTTTGGTTTCACTTAACCTACAAACACAATCCAGATATTCCAGATATAAACAACTCATCAGTTTTAAATTATGCACTTATTCTGGGTAACTTGATGAATTCTTGCATTGTCCCACTCCATCTTGCCCAAGATGTGAATTGTTTCTTTGTCCAGTGTCTTTGGACTGAGTATGCTACTTTCGTGTTCGTCATGATAGCTATCTTGGTGGTCTGATACACTGCTGAGGTATTCAGTGTTTATGTTCAGGTAACCTGTATTTTACTTAATCATGGCTCCAAAGAGCAAGAGTAGTGATGCTGGCAATTCAGATATGATAAAGATTTAAGTATCATCTCATGTTGTCACAAGAAGGAAGGTAAATTCAATATAATAAGTTTTGAGAGAAAGTGACCATATTCACATTAACTATTTTGCAGTATATTGTTATAATTGTTCTATTTTATTGTTGTTAATCTCTTAACTGTGTCTAATTTATAAATGAAACTTTGTCATAAGTATATATTTATAGATTGGTTGGGACCACGTTTTTTGGATTTTGGATATTGTTGATTTTGGAACATTTGTAGGGAGATAGTTTCAGAAAGAACCCAGGTCTAAACATGATATTCAGTTATGTTTCATAAACACCTTATAGCCTAAAAGTAATTTTATATAATAGTCATACTGCACCTGCATTTTGACCATGACCTGTCACATGAGGTCATGTGTGGAATTTTTTTCCACTTTTGAGATCATGTTGGTGTTCAAAAATTTTTGGATTTTGGAGCAGTTTGGATTTCTGGATTAGGGATGTTCAAGCTATATAGTGGGGGGAAAAAGCATAAATAGGGTTTGGTGCTATCCATGGCTTTAAGCCTCTGCTAGTATTGGTACACATCCCCTGAGAAAAAAAAGGGAGGACTACTGTTCTTACAACTCTGTTATTGTTCCCGAATAATTAACATACCACCGTCTCCCTTTTGGCATCTGAAGTTCCAGAAGAATCAGTTGAATAGATTGATTTGTTCCTTCCTAGTCTAATATTTTGTGGCATCAGTAAAACCTATAGGTGCTAGAGCCAATTTTAACAACTATCTGATAAAGGAATAAATTCTTCTTAGTAGGGATGACATTTCCATGCCCTGAATCCTGGGGACACACACACATACATAATTCTAGCAAATAAGAAAAGATTTATGTGATTATTTTCTATGAGACTCAGAATAGTTGGAGAGTGGGTGCACATGGGCAGAATCTTAAAAAATATTAAACCAGGCAAAACAGTTTCTTTAAAGCCATTGTGTATAAAGTATCATCCAAGTCTTTTGAGCAACATTAATATGCAAGCAGTCTGCTTTGGATAAACAAAAGTAAATTGTTTTCCCAATTATATAAATTGATATGCTTCTGACTTCCTTAAAATATAAGCAATGGAACATAATGAACTTTCTTGTTAGTTGACTGAATTCTCCATTGTTTATAAGAAAAATATTGAGCAAAAGTTCTTCTAGGTTATTGTAATTAGCCTGAAACCTGATTATAAACCTAGTTCATCTGTGAGCCTACTAAGGTTCTGAAATTTAAGATTCTTATTTTTCTCTGTTAATTGGCAGGGGCGGGGGGGGGGGCGCGACACCAAACAACTTAAGCCCAGCAATTCCAGGTTACTGTTAAGAGAGGCCAAAGGAAACCTCTTTGTAAAATTGAAAATTTCTAGAGTCTAAGGGACCTTAATTATATTTAGCAACCAACTCATTTTACAGATCAGAATGTTGAAGCACAGAAAGATTAACTTTTCTAAGATCACATGGGTAGGCATAGCCATGAATGAAATCCAGGTTTTCTGACTACTATCTCTATTCTCTTCCCACTGTTCTTTTTCATTATTTTAAGATCGGGCATTAAACATTTATACTCTTTTTTTATTGTGGTAAAATATGCATAATATAAAATCATTAAATTTCAAAGTATTCTTTGTCATAGGTGAATAATACATGAATATGGAACAGAAGTCAAAAGGCACACAAAAGTTTACAGTCTATTGTTCTGACAGCCCCGCTCCTTGAACTCCCTCCTTGAACTCCTGTCCATCCCAATTCCCCTTCTCGAAAATAGCCACTGTAAAGAATGAGGCATTTTAAACGGACCATTTTGGTCTAATATGCACAAACTGACATTGTGTTGCATTTTTCTTCATGAGTTGCAGTCTGGCCTGCCAAGTTTAGGGAATGCCCAGTAGAGGAAACACATAAGCCATGGAATTGGAATGTGGAGAGATTTATGAATTGGATTTGAAAATTACCCCCAATCCAAATTATTTCATGTAATAGAAGGAGGGCTGTCTTACTGCAGTAGTTTATTATGCAGATACTGCCTTTTGTACAGAGAACCCCGAGTAAAAGAGCCCTCATATATCCTCTGACAAGGAAAAACCCAAGTCTTGCATGACTCCTTGCAATTGCTTTACAGTTAATAGTACATCAGCCAGAAGAAAGCTGGAGATGCTCTGAAACTGTCAGTGGAGGGCAGTGGTCTGCTTCTTTCAGGCCTCTGAGCCTGGGAAGCCTTAATGCCCTGCCCTTGGTTTGGGTGAGGAGAGGAAGGCGGGGGCTCTAGGAGTATACATGCACTTGTGACCACACTACTACTTTTGAGGTTGAACAGTATGAAAAGCAGCTGGTAGCAATGCCTTTTTGTGCTATCGAGTCCTGGGTTGTCTGCCCAGCGCAGGTACTAGCGACTGCCTAGGATGACAGATCTGGCTCAGAAATGCTGTAGGCTAACGTCCAGCAGGCCACAGTTGGGTTCATCCTGGCTTAAAAGGCACATCCCACCCAGTGAATGGAAGAAGGAAGGGAACTGTGACCATTTCTCTTTGGATACCTGTGAGTGAGTATCTTGACACCAGGTTTCACCTGGGGAAATTATATAGGAAGTTTGTAGGTGGCTTAGAGGAAGAGAGAGGAGAATGGGTTGAAGGAAGTTATGGAGTAGGAAAGGCAAGGTGGGAAGAAGTTGTGTTTTTGAGAGAGAAGTTCTTTGACTTCATTGCTGTTAGACTGTTGGATTGTTCTACTTAAGGTGATGGTTTTCAAATTTCTTTGATCCTGAGTTTAACCTAGAATACTTGCTAAAAATTGAGATTGCTTGACTTCTGTCCCATATGGTAACTTAGTGAGTCTCAGGTAGAGTCTCTGAATCCTGGGGTGGTTTTGATACGATTTCAGGTGATTCTGGGGAACCATACTGGATCAGGGCTAGAGGGTACATCTTTATCAGCTCTGGACATTCTACACCAGGTTTGTGTTTTGTTGTGATATGAGCATAAAGAGTGTGGGGAGCCTTAACTGCAGATGGCTAATTCATATCAAGATTACAGCTTTTTTCCAAAAAGTATGCATGTTCCTTTTTACTTGATAATAATACCTTGAGGTTGATTCTTTAAAAATATTTTTGATTGTTGAAAACACTGGAATATTAATTCATAGTAACTGTTTAAACAACAGTGCCATTAATCTTTGCAAATAGAATCACAGATTTACCTTTGTTGTAATGGCTTTACCATTATTTTGACCTAGACTAATATTCTGTAATTTTAAATTTATTTAGAAATGAGAGGGTATATGTGTTAGTCAGCTTTGTGTCACTGTGACAAAAACAACAACAACAACACGATAATTCAATCAATTTTTAAGGAGGAAAGGCTTATTTTGGCTCATGGTTGCAGTCCACAAGCCTCTGGCAAAACAGCACATGAAGGCGGAGCATGTAGTGGAGAAGGCTGGGTGTTCACCTCAAAGTGGCCAGGAAGCAAAAAGAGAGAAGGGCCCAGGAGCCCAGTGTGCTCTTCAAGGGCCTGTTCCCAGTGACTTCCCTTCCTCCACCTAGACCCAACCTCCTTAATGTTCCATCACCTCCCAGTAGGGACCAAGTCTTTAACAAATGGGCCTCAGTGGGAGATTTCAGATCCAAATGATAGCAGTATGATAATTGACTATAACTATTTTTTTATAGTTAGAACTTTAATAATGAGGACATAATCTCATTTGATTATCACAGTCTTTTTAACAACTATAACAAAAATAAATCATAAATTTCAGTGATTGTATTTTTCTTTTCAGATAGAAACCAAGGTTTTAGCCTTCTCAACTCATTGGCTGCAACAAACCATAGCATTGGATCAGCAGAGACCTGTCACTCAGAGGTAAAGATGTTTTTGGATCTTTTCTCCTCTTTGGCCGTAATTTCTCCTTGTTATTATGAATCTTTACACATTCATTGTTTTTTTTTCTTTTTTTTTAAGAGGTGATAGGATATTAAAAATAGATGCAAGGAGAATCTAAAGTAGCCCTATTGTGCCTGGTATCTGTTGTGAGAAGGGTAGTTCAGCCCCCGTGAAAGCAGTCAGCACTTTCAAAATGTTGACAATTGGGCTAGTGTGTGTATGTGTGTGTGTGTATGTGTGTGTGTGTGTTTGCTAGAGTGTTTTTTATAATATGCTAGGATTTCCTTGAGACATAAACTTGCCTCCAGATCTTTAACTAGTAATTGAAACTGGTAGTTCTCTTAATACTTCATGCATACAAGGCCGTATACAAATCAGAGGAAAGGTCCCTGCCCTGAATGAGCTGATAAACCAGTTTCAACCCTCTGTCCTCAGGACTCTGGTCCAGATTTACCTTGGTTAACATGCTGAAACCAAGACTAAATGATATGGTGCTATGCTGTCTTTCCAGGGGCCTTTTTCTTAGCCTCTGAGCTATTTGCATTATGATGTGTAGGTTCTCAGATTTGAAATATAACATGAATCTTAGATGATGCAAATGAAAACATGTTTTAATAGCTTGTAGCAAAATCATAGCACTTTCTAGTTTTTCCTTGAGGGAAAATATTCCTGTTAGTGAATTTTCAGCCTTTTATGGTTAATGTAATCTTACTCTTTCTTTCTTTGTCTCTAGCTTGTTACCACTTCTCTACAGCCAGCAAGGGAGTGTGAAAGCGTGAGCCTTTTTGGATTTATCTCTGAAATAGTGTGCTATTCAGTTGTTGCTTATGTGTATTTTCTTCAACAGCAGTCCCATTTGCCAGCAGCAGATAGGACAGAGTCCCTCCCAGGTCATCAGGATGGTGCATCTAACACAGCAGATGCCCGGGTGGATAGCAGTGTGGGTAAGTTCCTTCTTTGGCTAGCAAGAGATAGCTCTGTGGAACTTGGAATTGACATCTTGGCAGAAATCCTGGGGGGGGGGGTGTTCATATTAAACATGGAAAAAGGAAGAAAATGGATGATGTACTCTAAATGAATGTAAGCCTGTGAATGTCAGAAGAAGGGGGAATTATAAGTACATAAGAAATATGTGGGCACTGTTTCTTTTTTTATCAACTTAGCAGGATCTTGATTCAGATTATCTCAGCTAAGACAGAACCAAGTAGTAAAACTACAGTTTTTTGTGGTATTTAACAGTAAGTAGTCAGAATTAATGGTGACAAGAATAATATACAACTTTCTAAGCCCTTTCATATTCTTTTAAACTTCTTTTATATCCACTTTCTCATTTGGTAATGAAGTTTGGCAAAAAAAGTTGTTTTACGGAGATGAAGTTGAAACCTAGTGAAGTTGAATCACTTGTCTAAGGACATCTAGCACCTGAAACTGAAACTGGAATCCAGTTTGATTTCCAGAAGCCAGAAAGCCAGGGAACTTAGTTGACAATAACTGTGGATATTCTACTTATATTCCTGCTTTATCTTTATGTCCCTGAGAGCTCATATGCAGTAATAACTTTTAAAAACTATTCCAGAACTATAACTTTGAAAAACTGATTATAAGGTAATCCATGTAGAAAACACAAGTAATTGGTTATAAAAACATATTAAGAAGAAAAAATTATGTATAATCTCTCTTTCTCTTCAGTTTATTCAACTTTGTCCTCTTAATCGAATCCTTCCTACTGGCTTTTAAACCTGCTTAAGTTTCTAGCAGTAAGCTGTGATCATACTGAATTGACATCACACACAGGTTGGGGGAGATGAGAAGGAACCTAAGTAACTTGGGAAACAGACCCTGAGGCTGAAAACAAAGAATGGAACACAAATACTAAACTTTCCTCAATGGATTTGTTTCTCACAGAAGTATAAGTTAGCAATTCTAAAAAGAAGAAGAAAAAAGTCTGTTTGTGTGTGTGTGTGTGAATGTGCACATACATATATATACACACATATATATGATAAAAAATAAAATATATTCTAGATAATGAGGGCTTGCTTTCTCACTTAGAAGAACTTATGAATAAAGAAAGGAGAAGGCTAGAATGAACCCTTTGGTATTAAACTGGAATCTATTGTATCAGTATGAACTCACAGTTTTTAAAAACATATACTTAAAGTCAGGACATTAGGGAAATAAAAATAGATATGTGTGTACAAATGTTAGTGTATATACATAAACTTCCTAGTCCTGTCCCCAAAAGTCTAGAAGCAGCAATATCCCAGTAGTGGTAGATGCACTTAGCACTTAACAGATCTTGGTTTCTAAATACCATTCTCCAGTAAAAGGAACTAGGGCTTCTTGAGAAGTGGTTGATTCCAGGGCTAGGGCAGGGAAAAAGCAGGATGTGCCAGGAGCATCTCGGGATGCCAGAAAGTAAAGAAATACTCAAAAAAGAATGGAGAGGGGCTGGGGTTGTGGCTCCGTGGTAGAGCATTTGCCTAGCATGTGTGAGGCACTGGGTTCACTTCTCAGCACTGCATATAAATAAATAAAAATAAAGGTTCATCCATAACTTAAAAAAAAAAAAAAGAATGGGGAGACATATTAAAAGGGTACAGGAGCCAACCTGAGAGAGCTTCCAGCTGGAACAGTTTGACCAGAAAAATAAGTTAGTATATTATTGGTTTATAATTTATAGAATAAAATAAGTATTCATGGGTGTATAGTAATATAAATAAATAAGTGGGAAAGAAAGACTCCTCCCCTTTATAGAAGAATTTCAATTAAAGAATTTGTAGGAGTGAGGAAAAAACAAAAACCACCTTTGGGCACATACCACAGTGACAGGTGTCACAGGCAAGATCTACTCGAATAGGTTAAAATTAGTGGATTAAATTTTGAGTAGAAGTAGTAGGATATTTACATAGTTTAGAAGTATCTCTCCCAAGATATTTATTACAAAAGAGAAAGTAGCAGCTGCAGACTGGACAAACATGGAAGATAGTGACCATTTCACCTACATGATGCAGGTGACCTTCACCAGTAATAAAATTCACTGACTTCAGATCTCCCTGCTAGGATGCATGGAGGAGGACACATCACTTCTTGTCAAAAATGTCATAAGATGAAATCAGATAAGCCATACTAAGAGACATTATACTAAATAATTGACCAATACTCTTCAAAGAATCAAGAGTCATAAAAGGCAGCAAAAGATTGAGGAACAAACTAGAGAGAGATGATGAGATTTGACAGTTAAACTCTGTAGGATCCTGGAATAGAGTAAGGGTATGAATGGAAAAACTGATGAAGCCTGAATAAAGTCAGTGATTTAGTCACCACCATTGAATCAATATTAACTGCTCTGTATTTATACTTGTAACATGGATATATAAGAGGTTAGCACTTTAAGCTGGGTATAGTGGTACACACCTATAATTCCAGCAGCTTGGGAGGCTGAGGCAGGAGGATCATGAGTTCAAAGACAGTCTCAGCAAAAATGAGGTGCTAATCAACTCAGTGAGACCCTGTCTCTAAAGAAAATATAAAATAGGGCTTGAGATGTGGCTCAGAGATTGAGTGCCCCTGAATTCAATCCCTGGTTACCCCCCCACACCCCAAAAAAAAGGAGGTTAGCACTTGGGTAAGGTGGCTGAATGGCTTGGGGGAACTCTATATATTATTTATTTTTTATTTTTTAGTATAGTTGGACACAATGCCTTTATTTTATTTATTATGTAGTGCTGAGGATCCAACCCATGGCCTTGCACGTGCTAGGCAAGCACTCTACCCCTGAGCTACAACCCAGCCCCCTATATACTATTTTTGCAACCTTTTTTTTTTTTTTTTAATATCTCACAGGCTGTTGCCTGATGGTCTATTTTGTCTGCTACAAATAGAGCTGGACCAGATTAGTTTTTTTTTTTGGACTGGGGATTGAACCCACAGGTGCTTTACCACTGAGCTATATCCCTAGCCCTTTTTGTTTCGATACAGGATCTTGCTAAATTGCCTAGGCTGGCCTTGAACTTGTGATCCTCTTGCCTCAGCCTCTCAAGTCACAGGTATACACCACTGTGCCTGGCATTGGCAACTTTTTTGTAAGATTAAAATAATTTCAAAGTTTGAAAAATAAAAGAAGGCAAAACAAACTAACAAAAACAAAACTCTTTCTCAACTCCACATCTCCTTTCATACCTCTTTGTTAAACCTATTTTCAATCCTTACTTCCCATTACTTCTTTCTCTCTTTTTGTTTGTTCTTTTTAGTTCCCATTACTTCTCAACTTTAAACTAGCTTTTGCCCTCACTAAACCACTAAAACATCTCTCTGTGGAGGACACCAATGACCTCATGCCACTAAATCTAACAGATATTTAGGCTTCTTGGTGGCATTCAGTCTTAAAGACAGTTCCTCACTGAAATAGTATCTTGTTTTGATCCACTCACCATGTCATCTTCTGGTTTTCTTCTTACCCTGTTGTTCCTCCTCTTTCTTTGGTAGATTATCCTCCTTTACCCAGCCTTTAAATATTGCCTTCATCAGTGTTCCACCTAAACTCCTCTTGTATATCTATTTTTAAGCATAAAGTGTATCTGTCTTTGTCCGTGGATTACTTACCATGTGTCCACAGGTAAATCACAATTTTTTATCTTCAACCTTATACCAGCTGCCTACATGACATGTCCATTGAACTAAAGCCAGCTTATCAACTAAAATGCATTTTTAAATTTTAGTTGGACATAACTTTATTCATTTTTTTATGTGGTGTTGAGAATCAAACCCAGGGCCTCACACATGCTAGGCAAGCGCTCTACCACTGAGCCACAGCCCCAGCCCTAAAATGAATTTTAATGAATTTTTAACATCAAATTGTATGGCACTGTGGTAGATGCAAAGAATTCTAAGTTATCACCTTTGTCTTCAAGGAACTTGTAGTTCAAATATGTAGAGACAGGACTTATAATGGTCAAGGCCATGAGCTTTGAAGCCCTACATAGCTGGATTCAAATAATAGCTCAACTACTAGTAGTGAGATGACCTTGAGTAAATTATTGAACCTCTCTTGGCCTTAGTTTCCTCTTCTGTAAAATAGGAATAACAAGTCTTTCCTCATAGTGCTGTTCAAAAATGAAGTGGACTCATGTAAGTTAAAGCACTCGGTAGAGCAGGCACAAAGGGTCCTTCTGGTACTGCATAGTGTGTGTGTATCAGTAGTGGTGGGGAGGTGCTAGAATGCACAGTGGCATGTGCAGGTGCCGTAGCAGCTCTGTAACTGGTGTTAAAAACAGATTTCTGAGGAAGGAGACCAGGAACTGGGATAGTTAGGGAAGACATTTGCAAGATTGTGGGCTGCGAGTGGAGAATGGATCAAAATCCTGAGTAAAGGGGCTGGGGATATGGCTCAAGCGGTAGCGCACTCGCCTGGCATGCGTGCGGCCTAGATTCGATCCTCAGTACCACATACAAACAAAGATGTTGTGTCCGCCAAAAAAACTAAAAAATAAATATTAAAAAAAATTCTGAATAAAAACAACAAACTTTGATTTAAAAAAGTAATGTACTAAGATAGAAATAGTAAAGGATTTGTAGTAAGAAAATATGAATTTAAATCAGCTCTGCTTCTGAATAGCTAGCTGTAATTTAGCTGAGTTCACTTTTGAATATGGGTTTTATCATCTATAAGTTGTGAATGATGATATCCTAATCAGCTTATATGATGTCAGTAGATGTAAAAATACTTGTAAAGTTTGGCATTAATTTTAGTCCTTATTGTTGAATCATTGTGCCTTATTGGATCTGGTGTGGCCTTGAGAGTTGCAATCACCTACTTGTCAATTCACTTATCAGCTGTGACCTAAAGCAAGTCCTTCAACTCTTGAGCTTTGATTTTCTTATCTCTGAAATGGAAGTAGTATTCCTTACCTCATTCCAGCATTGTAAGGATAAAAGAAGTTGCTGTTCACTTAGGGGCCCTCCGAGCAGCCAAGCAGGGTGAGGCTCTCTGAATTGTAAAACTGGCACACAGTGCTACTCAGTCATTGTGACATTCATGAAGGCCAGCATTAATTGCCTTAGAATTCTGTGTGTTGACAACATATATAACTAACGTGTGACAAATCTTTATTTCAGATCCCATGTTAGATCTGGATATTCAAGAATTAGCCAGTCTTACTACTGGAGGAGGAGATTTGGAGAATTTTGAAAGATTATTTTCAAAGTTAAAGGAAATGAAAGGTAATCAACTCCATTGTGTCTAATATATTCCCATACTGATGTTCATCTATTTTATATAATAGGATTTTATTTTGTAATTGCTGGATTGGATACATGGTCTGGTCTCAGCTGTCTTCAGAAAGTTAACCACTGGGGCAACTCTGCCATTCTCCATTGATAAAATTCCCTGGGGAAAATTTTTCTTTCTTTGTTCTTTTTCCTCTTAATTTTCTTTCTCCTACTGCCCTGTTTTTTTCAGTGTGTCTCATTAACATGGCATCTGTTAAGATCCCCACCAATATACTCACCTCATTCCTATCTGGAAAATTTGGAAGACTTAAACTTCCTAATACCTGTAACAGCTACACCATCAACATGTCTTTGAAACCCATCTCCCATCTTCTAGTGTTAGAACACCCATATACTCCAGATTCTCCTATGCTATTAGACAAATTTCTTAAGATATATTTTCCCCCTAGACAAGGCTGCGACGCTTCCTCACGAGCAAAGAAAATTGCATGCAGAAAAGGTGAGACAATCCATCAGGTACTTATTGAGTACCTACAAAAGATCCAGTGCTGTATGATTATATTATATCACACTTCTGTACTTCTGAGGGGTCTTATAGTGAGCTTTTCATTGGATATTAACATAACTAGTTTAAAGTATTTATACAGTAGTAATACAGTTACTGAAGTCAGACTAAGATTTTTCAAATGTATGCTGAGTGACATGAACTGTATTGAGACTTGGAATATTTGCCTTTCTAACAGTTGGGTTGGAAAACTCTTAGTTGTTTTGCTTTGTTATTACCAATGCAGCACATGTCCCCTGCAGGAAACTTACGTTGGTGGTGGTATTTCTATATGAATTGTCATAATTTATTTATCCAGCTTCTTTTTTGGACTTTTAGGCCAACAGTGTACATTTTTTTGTTTCTATAAATAATAAAACTGTGCATATCCTTTGTATACACATTACCTTTACCTACAAGTCCGATTGTATCCTTAGCATAAATTCCTAGATGTGGAAGTCCCAAGTCAAAGGGTACTTCAGGATTTTGATATCTGTTGCCAGAGGGCTGGAAGGCAAAGTGTAGAACTTTAGGTTCCAGGCAGTTTAAGGCAAGTCGTGAAATGAGCTGAAATTGAGCTGTTGCCTGAAACTTGTTTCGTGCATCTCTCAACAGGTGGCCAAAGCTTTCTGGATGGCAATTGGGGGAGACAGAGATGAAATTGAAGGCCTATCTTCTGATGAAGAACACTAAATTATCCCTACTAGGTTTGACTCACAAAGATGCTAGCTTTCTACGTGAGATACTTCCTGCTCAACCCAGTAATATTTTGCTATAATTCCCATTCTCCTGTTGGCCACCTGACTTGTTTTTAGTCCCTTTAATTTTAGTGTCTAATAGGAAGTTCAGAAGAATTCTTTTCTTCTTCAGAATGTGGGAAAGAGGAGTACAATAACAATAATGAGTGAGAATCTCTCAGATATACTTTTTTGTTCGAAGAATATCTGTGATTTGTCAAGTTTAAGAAGAAAACCGCTCAGCCTTTCCAAGCCAGGCTTTTCTGTAGCATCCCCAGCATTTTCTCTTCATTGCCAGAGATCAAGGGCATATGTCATTTTCCCCACTCAAGGAGTTTACAGATCTGAGCTATGAAGCTTTTGGGAGGAGGAAAGTAGCATCTCCAGGTTGGATTTGTGCTATGGAAGGGGGGTGTGGGCAAAGTCAGTGGCCCACAGGTGTGTCTCTAATTGAAAAGGTGCTCTGGGCATCTCATTTGAGGCACAGTGTCTGAGCTCACACTACAATGAATTTAAAAAAACAGTTTAGAGACTATAAGGAATGAGGTCTCATGAAGATAAAACAGACCCGCCACCAAGTTTTTGTGTGGAGTGGGGAGGTAAGAGAGAGACTCTTGTGGAATTCATGTGTGGGCTATGGAAACTATTCTCATGATGAGATTGTTGTGTTGGCATTATGAAGATACTTCTGTCTTACTCTTCTCCTTGCTACTTGAGATGCCAGGGCTGTGCCTTCACACTTTAAACCTTCAAAACAAGGAAGCATCCCCTTCTTCCTGTTTCAAAGACATCACTACCAAAGTAGCAACACCAGATGGTGGGTGAGGATGTGAAATATTAGGTCTTGCGTTCCTGAGCACCTTCTTTCACTCTCCAGCTTAATGGCTCCTCTGGGCCTTTTCAGGGTTACAGCCCTGAGAAAAAGCCCTGTTCTTTATCCTGACTCATTCAAACATGATTGATCACTGAAAGGAAAGTTTGAAAGAGAAAGTGGAAAATATAGCAAATAGAAATCCTTATTAAAAAAAAATCCTTATAAGCATTATAGAACCTCAAAGAGCTAGCACAAAGAATGGAATGCTATAGGGGCTAGGCTAGAGCGACCATGGGGGAAACCTTGCAGTAACTGGAGAGTTCAATAAGAGGATCCAGGGAACAATGAAAGCTATCTTAGTAGCTTTTTTGTTTTGTTTTTTCTTTCTTTTTTTTTTTTTTTAACTGTTCTGAAAGTCTTTGAGTCAGTGGTTCACCACCATCCCATCAGTGGGACTGATATTTCCTTGAGGTGACTATGCTTCTTCAAGGTGATGTTTCTTTGAATTGATTGCATTAGCCATTAAGGATGAAAGGAAGTTGGCTTTGGGGTTGCCAAAAATGTGGAATGTTTTCTTAAAACATGGAAGATTTTAGAAAATGTTAAGACACATTGGTGAGGGGAAAACAGACTAGAAAAAACTGTGATCTTGATTTTGTGGATTAAACAAAGCCAGGTAATTAAAATGATCTATTTATAAAATGCTAATGTATGTTATTATGACTTGTTTTTCTGTAGATGGTATGAGTGGGGAAAGCCTTCCATCCTTCATTGAGTTAGACATGGTGAAGAGTCTTAAGAATTCATCAAGCTCATTATTTTGGAACCCACTGTGCCTGTGTGTAATGTCTATTCATGCTTTTAAGACCTCAGCTCTCTGGGATATTGGCCCCTTATAGAGAACACATGGGATAAAGGTATCTAGTGGTATCTACTAATGGCTCATGTTCCGAAGAGTGATCATGAGCTAACAGTGCAGACACAACTGCAGTCTAGCTAAAATGACGTCTCTGCATACTACCACAAGTTATAGACTTCTAGCCAGGATTTCGGAGGAGATACTGGGCTTTTTTACCCCTACATATTTTTCTATTTGTGTGTAACAGTGTTTAGCACATATACACCCTTAATTTTACTTGGAAGGTTTGGTTCATGTTTGGTGAATATGATCACAAAGTTTGAAGATCCAAGAGTGTTGGAACTAGGTAGAGACAAGAATAAACTTTTCTTTTCCCCCAAGAAAATCATGTGTTATGTAATAATTTTAGAGTGATGAAGACATAAGGTATTTTTATAATTTAAAAATATGCTACCCTGCCAGAGCATGAGAAGATTGACAGAACCAATTTGCTTGCTCTCTATTTATAGAACTTGGCCACATCTGATTCAGAGAAGCAACAGATTCAGGGAAGCTGGACTTAGATGGCTGAGTAATATGGGATGTGGTTCAAGGACCAACAGGCCATTCTACAAATTACTTACAACATGTGAAATGTGATACATGGTTAATTTTATGTTCTCATTGTGAAGAGATGGGGATGAACATTTTTGCCATGGATCATTAGATTCCCTTAACCTTGGCCAATCTCTTTAACAATGGCCATTGAGAGAGCACATGAAGTGCCCCTTGCCCTGCTTTGGCCTGCCATGGAAAATGGTCTTAGGAGAATCACTGTCCAAGGGTAAGATGAGAGCTCTGTGAACTATTCTGAGCTTAAATGTTTGCTAATGCAAAGCTATATTTAGCAAACATGTGTCTGGTGTGGTCAGGGGTTCTGATCCATTGAATGTTCTGATTGATGGAGACAGTTTCAATAAATGCTCTGATGAATTAGATTTTTCCTTCACCTTTGCCCCATCTACAAAAGACAATTTAGCTATAGCATTATGTCATTATATACCAGTCAAATTTGAGGACTGTAGGTGGAGAAAGTAAAAACAATCTAGTCAAGAATACTAAACCTAGTACTACTGTCTTAGCACAAGCTCATTTTGAAAACAGTACCCTATTAACTTTTCCATAATTTGTATGTCTCATAAAATGCTGAACATTCGGGGCAGAATTCTAATGTTTGATTTAGATTCCTTTTGGGATTAGCATGGTGATCCATCCTTGCACCTTTGGCATCTAAGGTCTTGCAGAAAAGGTCTTCAGAATTCTCTTAAGTTTCATATTTTGACATTACCTGTGTCTGTTACTAACATTACAAGTCTCGCTCTTCCTGTAAACTCTTTACTTGGAGTTGAGTTCTTCTAGTATTAGAAGCATCTTGCTTGATTATAAGTTGCTCTTCAGACTTGCAGGATGAAGAATTAACAAAAAGGCAACAGCAATAGTTTGCATCTTTTCTCAGAGCATGACTGGATCCCATTCCAGTTTCGTAGTGATTTACGGTTCTACTTTGTTTTCTTTTGGAAAAGTTTTGACTCAAAACCTGGCCCTAATGGGTATTACTGCATCTTTGGAACATAAGCTTGTGGGTAGAAGGAGAAAAGAAAAATTTTCTTCTAAAACCCTTCTGTGTTGATAGGCCAAACAGTCCTTCCTCACAACTACAAATCTGGAAGGCAAAAGCAGGTCACATGAAGCTGTTCATGCTCAGTTTGCTAAGGAGGAAGCCTCCTTGCTCCTCTCTTACCCTTTATGTTATCAACCATGTGCCTTTAATGTTACAAAAAAAAAAAATGTGGGCTAAGTAAGGGCTGGGGCATGTACTTTATGGAAATAGCAGTGTAGTTTGGAAGACAGAAGACTCTTAATCTGAAGTTCAAGGGCATGGTCTGTACCAATTGTGCTTCCCTAGGAAATTCTCAAGAAGTCTATTAATGCCTGATGGATGACTAAACTACAGTTGGTACAGTTTGATGCCCTCAAACTTGTTCCTTCTACCCTGGTGAGGGCCGAAATTAGGATTCGGGGCCTCGCGAATGCTGTGAACCTTGATTGCACCAGACTCGGGGTCAAGCATGAAAGAAGATACAGAACTTAGTAAAGGTGCAGTTCCTCTTACCCAGGAGGTCAGAGTCTAATTCAGTGGAGTAGGGTCAAGCAGGACAATATCACAAGGACACAATACCAAGCAGAAAGTAAAAAGTGCCATTTCCAGCCTTCGTTGCTGAGGGAAGGAGAGCAGAGCACAGAGTGCACCTTCAAGCAGTGGTTCTCAAAAATTAGCCCAGGTCAGAATCATCTACGGGGTCCCACCGCAGGGCTTCTGATTCAGTTGATCTGGGGTGGGGTCTGAGAATCTGCATTTCTGACACCTCAGGTGATACTGATGCTGCTGGTGCTGGGGCACACTTTGAAAACACTGATTTAGAGGAAATAATGCTTGAATTGAAAGGATACAAAAATTGGGGCAGATAGATAAAGGGGAAGCAGCAAAAATTCTTAAGTTTGGCATGAACAGAGATATGGAAGGGGCATGTCCAAATAACCCAGGTAGTCCAATTAGTGAATTGTGGGAGTGTGCTGGAGAGGCCCCTGAAAGCCTGCCTTGTATGTTGTGTACCTGCTTGAGATGAGTGAATAGCCAAATGTGTTTGAACAGAGAAGGCATCCAACCATAATCCAGGAATATCCAGCACAGTTTTGTCACTATCTGCATAATTAATTAGTTGTGTTGAGGATTCTGAGGGTTAGACTGGACCTAGCATTGTGATTAGTGGTTTTTGCCATGGACAGAGATACAGAGAATGGTGGTAATTTTGTCACATAGTTGCTAACCTGGATCAGAGGGAGACAAAATTTGGCATAGCTATAATAAAAGGAATTGTATTTTGGTGATATTTCTATTATAATAGAATGGCACAGTAGAAACAGATGCATAAGATATTGTTAAGGTAGAATCTACTAAATAGGGTACTGGTTGATTTATTTGTTCAGTAACAATATTTGCTCCAAAGATGCTGGGACTACAGGAGTAAAATGTAAATCCTGTTCTCAAGAAACTCTCAGCTTAGACACAAATAACACAAGTGGAAAAGACTATGATGATCAGTACTCGTGAGAGACTTCCTGGAGGAGATGTTTGAAAGGCATCACAAAGCAATAGTCAAATTTAGCAGGCTGGGCTGGTGGTGTTTATCAGAAACCCAAGGAGCAGGGGAGGGGGCTGGGAAGAGAGGTTGATGTTCCAGGCAGAGGAAAGAACATGAGCAGTTGTGGAGATGAGGCGGACACAGAAGAACCATGAATCGCTGGGCTGCAGGGATAAGGCAGGGAGTGATGAGAGCTACACAGGGACTGAGGAGGAAGGCCACATGTTCCATGGTCAGTTTGTGCTATGGACGGTGGTGTGAGGGGGAGGCATTTCTGGAGACAGAATTCTAATTTGGATATGAACTATCCCCCAAAGATCCATTTGTTAAAGACTGGTCCCCATCTCATGATAATTGGGAGGTGGCAAGGCCTTTAAGAGGTGGGGTGTAATGGAGTTAGGTCCTTCATTGGGTGCCTACCCTTGAAGGGGATTTTGAGGTCTTGGCCCCTTCCTCTCTTTGCTTCGGGGCCACAGTGAGGTAAACAGCTCTTCATGCCACATACTCCTGCCTGATGCACTAACCACCACAGGCCCAAAGCAACAGGACCAAGCAACCATGGGCTGAAAACCTCTGAAACGTGAGTCAAAATAAACCTTTTTCCCTTATTAAGTTCATTGTCTTAGGTATTTTGTTACAGTAACAGAAAGCTAACACAGGCAGTGTGAATTTGTAAAAATGCAGGCTGGAGGTGACGGGACCAGTTAGGAAGCTGGTCCAATGGTCCTGAAGGACTTGCTGTAGAGCAGAGGAGAGCTCGGGGAGCAAGGCCAATTGGAAGTGGAAGCAAGGGAGCCAGAGACAACAGTGACTTCCTTCAGTACAGGCTAGGTGAATGGTCATGCCAAAAATGGGAGCAAAGTCCAGGGGACACAGATGGTTTAACAAAGGAAATGATTGTTTTGTGTTTGAGGTACATGTGTCACTTGTACATATCAGTAGCCAGCAGGTTATCTGACATGAGTCTGAAGATTTGGATTGATGTTTGGTCTGTGAGTAGTGATGAGCAGTTTATGTGGCTTGAGATCATAGAGGCCAGTGAGCTCACTCAGGGACAAGTGTCAAGAGCACATACAGTGGTCTGGGAACACCAGATGAAGGAGGCAGCGGAGATGCTGGCCAAGAGAGTAGAGTTTAAGGGCCAAGGAGAACTGGGAAGTTTGGGGCAAGGCCTTTCCAGGGGAGGTTTGCTCAGCCAGTGTGGCCTTAGCAAGGAGCAAGGAAGCTGTGAGGACCCGGGGAGGGGGAGGGCAGGCCTAAGAACCCGGAGGCAGGATGGAGGAGCTGGGGCGGTTCCTGAGGAAACTGGTTCTATTGGGGGGAGGGGGGATGTGTGTTTTGGATCTGTGTTGGATCCCATGTAATGGGCTATTGGAATTTATGATAGTATGGCTCAGCTGAAGGTGCCAATCTGAGAGAAATATACATTTCGTAAAACCTTGGGGAAGGCCTTTTAGGGGTCTGGAGGGTGGGATAATCCCAAGGCAGGCATTTGATGCAGTTCACAGAGGACAAGTCTGCAAGCCCCTTGGTGCCCTTGCTGTGAAATGGCCTTCCTGGACTCTGGTAAGGTCCTAAAGTGGACTGCTTCAGAAGAGGTCACACTTGGGGATGATTCTGGCCCCATCTCTTCCTCTGCCCTCCAAATTCTACTTATTCAAATTCATATTTAGACAAGGAAGAGATTTTGAAATCTCTTTTTCCTTGGGAGTTTAGAATTCAACATGCATTCTCATAGATGCTAACAGTCATTTGAGCAGAAAGCATGGCAACCCCGTTACTTGTGAATATGAAACTACCTGTGTGTCGATGGGAAGGCAAGTCTGGCAGCATTTAAAACACAGTGACAGTGCGGGAGAGGCAGAGTGGAAAGGACTAACAGAAGCGTGGGGTGCAGGGCTGGAGGCGATGGCTTCAGTCATGGCCAGGAGCCCTGCAGGTACCAGGGAAGTTAATGCAGATGCCACAGGGTCTCCTGCTGTCTCTCAAAGACTGGCAGGCCTTAGTGATGCCCTTAGTGAGTGAATGAGGGCAGCTGGGATTATCTGAGGACCACCTGGCACATTGGTGGTCAAAGTACATCTGGGTTTGCAGACATTTCCCTCTGATTGCCCTGGATGCTGAGGCCCCCAGGACCTCAGTGGGCTCTGTGAAATCTTCTCTTTACCCGGAGACAGCAGCAAGAATCAGACTGAGCTCCTGGCCTAGGAGCTTTTCAATGAAAAGTTTATTAGAAGGGCACTTACAAGAGGAAGGGAAGGGGAATGGACATGGATCTTTAACAGTAGGGGTACAATGCTCAGAACAGGTGCTCTGCTTTTAAGATACAAAACTTAGAAAAATCTAAAACACTATAAATAGTACATGCTTTTTACAAAGATATTAAAAGGTCAGGCTGGCTGAATAGTGAAGGGTAATCAACATCCTCCACATTCTCGTCTTCACCCCGACACGTGCCAACACAGGAGTCCAGAACAGCCTGTTGGCAGTGGCAGCAGTGCAGGCCTCCTGGATAAAAGTGGCTCCCTCTCTGGGTGGCGTCTTCACCCCAGGATCCCTGTGGAGGCCTAGATTTGACTCAGAGCTGCCTGATGTTACACACTGTCACTTGTGCAGCCAGCCTCGCTTGGAGTTCTAGATGCTGAGCCAAAAAAGCCACTACACTCCTCAAGGCACCAACATTCAGAACTGGCTGTACCCAACTCTTCCAGCCACTGACCTCAGAAGGGAGAGGCCTTTGCAACTGTCTTAAAAAATTAAATAGTTATCTGTCTGAATGGTTTTAAGAAATTATTACATAAATATAAAAACACCAGAATGCTAGAGTATCCATTATTTCTGCATTAAAAAAAAAACAAAAATCAATTACAGAATCACTGAGAATTTCTCACTCCAGTTTGCCCAAGAGGTGAGTTTCTTTTACATGACAGCTGTGTTTCTGAGGAGGTGCCTGTGTACCAAGTCATCCCCGCTGACTGACACCTCCCATCGGGGGTGCTACATCGTCATGGTGACCCACATTCTCTTGAGTATGTTTCCTGCATTCCATCCACTCTAGGAAGTGGCCGATGCTCCTTAAGAGGGGGATGGACAATGTGAAGACTGTTACTTGAAGGGGTCCTACGGGGGAACGTTGATGCCACAAAAAGAAAAATGGCACAACCTAGCTGTGCTAAGATTTTCTTCTAGTAAAAATGAGACACATGTACATTCTGAGAAAACACCCAACTCTAGCCACTTAGAGCACACTGTAAGAAACAGCGTCCAGAGCCAAGCTTGTGCCATCTCTGGCTGCTAGTGGCCCCCTAGGTAAACAGTCCTGTGAGCAGCCTGCAGAGTCCTTTCCCAGCCTCTCCTTTTGAAGACTAGAGGGCACAATCATGAAGCCTCAGAAATGGCAGGTGGGGCTAAGAATGACAGCTCCCTGGACAACTTACGTCCATGCACAACATGCACACACTACTTAAAGAAAACCTTCCTGTGGTTTGAGTAAAGGCATTCAGCCCTGGCCTAGGTCCAGACTCTAGGAAGCCAAAGGGAGATGGAGAAAAACAGACTAAGCACACAATATGTGCTACAGCTCATTTCAATACATTAACAATGATTTAAAAAAATAACTACGGTCAATTCAAAACAAAACAAAAAAACAGACCACATCAGGACAATGGGAAAGTCTGCCAGCAGCATTGCCCTCATGTGTGTTCTTCCCAAGAGTCAGAGTCCCTGCTCCTGACTCCAGGCTAGTCATAGGTGTCAGGTCTTCTACACCCTGCCAAGAAGGTGGCCAGCTGAGGTGATGCGCCAGCACAGGCCTGTAGTCCAAACCGGCTGGGGCAGCTACCTGCGTGTACACTGGAGGGTCTGTTACTGAATTAAGTGAGGAAGCAGAGAGTGGTGGGGAAGGAAAGGTGCTAAAAGCTGGCTCCTTGGGAGTGCTGCAGACACCGGATGCAGCTGGGGGGCAGCACGTGAGGTCATGTTGCCTAAGCAAACTACACTTAAAACTGCTGTCCAGCAGCCCTTCCCACGCCTCTGAAACTGCCCTGGTTTTCCTCTTGCCTCTTTCAGCTGTCCTTTAAAAAAAGTTTTTAAAATGTATAAATGTCATTCATATAAGATTTAAAACTAAGAAAACTAGTTTTGTGACAAGAAGGACACTAATATTACACATGCCCAAAGGACCTATTTGTGTTCCAGGATGGGAAAGGTACCATTCCCTGACATCCAAAAATGACCAAATTTATTTTCACGGATGCCAAAGGTAGATCTGCCTACAGTTTCCTCACATATCCTCTGGTGGTCTCTTAAGGAGAAGGGTCAAGAAAACAGCCTTTGGAAAAAAACACAAAACTCAAAACTTCATGCCAATTAGAAGCATCCATCAGATCTGAGCATTGAGGGTTCTAAGACACCCTCCAAAATGCAGCCAGTTATGACCAGCACATCACCAAGATTGTGTTACACCTGAAGCTGTCCCCAAGCACCTGGAGGACAACTGTGCCACAGGAAGCTCTTACGTAATAGGTGAGGAGTGCGAGCCTCAGAAACCACTGCCCGCAGCTTGCATGCGAGGGGCTGTGATTGCTCCAGCAGAAGCCAAAATGGAATATTCCTGCCCCGAGTTCTGAGCTGACCAGGAGCATGAAGGCACACACGGGAGGTTCAGAAGGCCTCGTGTGTGTGTGTGTGTGTGTGTGTGTAGCAATCTACAGACCACTTTTAGCCAAGCACAAATTCCATACCCACAGCATTTGCACCTATCTGAGGAAGTGAGAGGGTTTGTATTATCTCTGGGTTCTGTCAACACCCTTGTGGAAAGACTCACACAAGTGAGCAAGGTATTCATTCCATCTCTTCCTGTGTCCTCAGAAGGTGTAGGGAGCAGCTCTCCTAAATGGGAATCTCAAGACCATAGCTGCAGGGGCACTGGATCCTGCAGGTGAGATGCCAGGAAGTCCCCGACATCTTCAAGGAGCATGAGGAATTTCATCACATTTATGGTTTCTGACCTGCCAAAAGTATACACTTTATTCCCTTCACCTAGAATAAGACAGGACTTCCATAGGAAATCCCCTCCCCCCTTTTTTTCCTGGTATAAATTCATGCAAAAATGTGGATAAGTCATTTCATATAAAAACAGCAGCAAAGAAAAAAGTACCAGTTGCAGGTGGCAATCCTGTGTCTGCTGTATTCTGCAAAAGGCCAGTAAAAGAATCAGTTTCGGTTTTTCTTTTTCCAGTTGAAATAATGTATACTAGTTTTCTACCTAATTGCCCTTGGGTGCTGTACTTAACACACAGCATCACTGCAATAGTTGTTACTGAGGATCCTCTGCCACAAGCTACATAATATCACGTCTCAGGGCGAAGATGACAGATCTCTTTTCACCAAGCCTGCAATTTTCAAAGGTATAAAAAAATTTTAATAGCCCTTTTCATTTGCCTATGTTAGCCTGAGATTTTTCCCTTCTGGTGAATTTACTTCTGTAAATTTCAGCTTCCAAAAGTGCTGGCAGGTGTCTCAACAGAACCTGGAAAAGCTTCACGTTGGGAGAGAAGTAGTTGTTGGATCCCAGTCTGCTTTCCCAGTCGATATGCCTACCCAGGAACTTTTGTTTTTTAATATAAAACAAACATTTAAAAGAGCATATGATAAAGTTGGTTTAATTAATGCAACCGACTACATAAACCAACATAGCCGAATGCATCAGAATACGGCGCGAGACAACCGGGGATGCACTCGCGGTAGTGCTGCCTCAGCCCAAATGCCACTACATCCAACTGCCCTTTGCTTCATGTGAACACTTAATGTCATTCAAATCTCTTTGAGATTAATGTGATAATAGAAACTATACATTGCATACGCACTGAGACTCAGCAGATCCTTCCCACTTTTCCAAGTGAGGAAGGGCAAAAAGTTTTTAAAGGAGAGATGGGTCTCGTCAACTTTTCCCAGGGTCCCAGGAACACATTCTGCCGAACATGCTTGCTCACACCAATCAGTGTGTTCTGAGAGGGGAGCCAGCCGGGCAAGCCCCTCCCCACATGCAGTCAGCTCATCAGGTGCCCACTGCCAGCATAGTGGGGTGCGGCTGGGAATGCTCTATCCCAGAGGCTCTTAATCAAAAGTGCCAGAGAACTGGAACACTCTTCCAAGATGAATTCCACACCAAGCCCTGGGCAGAGAGGCTTTCCTGTTGGACTGTGACATCCCAGATATCATTAAAAAAGGAGGTGGCTGCAGGAAGGGGCAGGTGGTAAAACACTACCTGTTGGCACAAGCCACTGGAGCAGAAGCCATTTCTTGCCCTTCACACTGGAGCCTAGGGCATATGTGTTCAGCAGGTACAACTGTTCATAAAATCCATCACTGGGTTTGCTTCTGTGCTTTGGAAAACAGGTTGGTGCCACCTTGGTTGAGAGAGAAGATTTTCTTCCTTGACAAGAACAGGTTGAGGAGAGTTCTGATTTTCTCCTTTCTCCTCCATGGCCATTTTCCCCAAGCCTGCCCGCTCCTCCCCTCCCTCTTCACTCCCAGGGTCTCTAAGACACGCTGGAACAGCGGATGCTGGGGGAGCCCATCTGGGTGAGAACCTTGTCAAGCCACTGCAAAGGCCCATTCAGGTGCAGCTCAATCCAGCAGGGGGTGCTGGTCACTGTCTGTCTCCTGCAAGAACAGGGAAAGGGATGGGGGGACTTAAAAAAAAAAGTCCACAGGGATACAAATACAAGTCAGAACATCTTTTTCTGCTTTGGTGACAAGTTCAACTCCTCCAACCAGGGAGGACTCAGTAACTCAGGTTTTTCTTTAGGGGAGAAGGAGGGCCTTAAAGTATTACACATGTAAGGTCAATTCCAGGGTACCCCAGAGAGGCTCACCAGTTACTGTGACAGGCCCCCCACTAGAGGACCTCCAGCCTGAGCAAAGGTCCCCCTGGCTCCCATCTGTGCCAGCTGGGCACCTGCAGCTCCCGGTCTCCAGACCAGGCCCAGCCCCAACAGGCTGCAATGACGTGTGTCTGTCTGGTGGAGGGGTGTTTTGTATGAAGTATTGACTGAGTCCACATGCCTTCAGTTCCCAATGTGCTGATATAATTCCCATCTACGGCCTTATTTTGGAAAATCTTACGAGTAGAGCTAGCCATGAAACAATTACTGGAAAAAACCAAGGCACGCCACACGTTTCTTTTCCCCAAAGCACTTTGTCTAAATTCAGGCTGGCGGATGACGCAGCTCATAGGCGAAGTCCCAAAGGCCTCTGCTGAGCAGAGGCTATCTGCTGAGGCTGGAGTTACGGGTGCCAGCTGGAGGTAAGAGGACTGGGTCCTGCTTTCGGCCTCCTCACAGACACGGTCTGAAACCTTACTCTCCTTGGCCCACAAGGCAGGAGGACAAAGCTGTTCTGGGAAGGGGCCGCACCCGTCCATTGGGCTGTGGTGCGTGCTGCCAGGTGGCGGTGACGCAGTGGGCCGCACAGGACTGGGAGTGCTGGCAGAACGTCCTGCACAGTGATACAGTGCCCCCAGGGAAAGGCTTCTGCCACCACGGAGCCTCTGCCTGGCCCTCAGCTGGAGGACCATGGTGCCACACCACATCAGGTCCACTGTCCTGAGGGCCACCCTCCTTGCTTGTTGGGCTTCACCTGAGACAGGCCTGCAACCTGGCCCTGGGGTGTCTGCTTGGTCAAGGGCACCTGAGTGTGGTCCCTGGGTTAGAATCTGGGTGTAAGAAGAGCCAGTGGACTTCCCCTGGCTCCTTTCCATTTGGGTCCATCTTTAAATATTTCCCTTTCCCACTAAAAACATTAATTTTCTAACCTTTCACTCTCATTCCCTAAGTGATCTTAGCCAGGGCTGAAAGGTTCGATAAAACATTTCTCCAACGGGACCTCTGGGCCTGGGCTAATCTCTCTAGTTCTTCATAACATGGTCATAAGTCCTCCCAAGGGCTGACAACCTCACCCCCTTGGTGGTTCCCTGGATTTCACAAAGACTGCAGGGATGAAGGTGCGGTGTTCCCTGGCACTCTGGGACAGACGCAGAAGAACAGCAGCTAAAATACGGTAACTGGAGGAGGTGGATTTTACAGAGCAAAACCCTCTAATGAGAATCTGACTTTCCATAAGTCATGCTCATCAGGATTTCATTATAAACCGTGGCTCAGAGCCAGCACTAAAATGGGTTTGGCTGGGGTGCAGAATGACTGCAAAACAAAGTAGATTCCAAACATCTGGAAAAATGAAGAGAAGGGAGAGTAGCTTGCAAGGCGCTGGCTCCAGCTGACGTGTGGCACCTCTGCGTCTGTGCGCGGGAGCCGGGGGCTGGGCGGGGTGTGCAGCAGGGGGCACGCAGCCCTGCCTGTCAGGAAACCCCTGCCAGGTGTGGGGGGAGAAGGGGCTGGATTCCCGGGAAACCCAACCCGGGATGGTCTGAGGGACTGAGTAAGCAGAGTAGGCCGACCTGTTAATCAGTACCATATTCAGACCTGTTATGTAGGATTCTTAAAAATTACGTCCATGCACAGTAAACTTGTAACCATGCAGATCTCCCCCCTCCTTCCTTGATTCTCCTAGACGTTCAGAGTCACCAGCGTACTTAAGTTCAGAGAAGGAGCCACAGGTGGGAGACCCTTGGGTGAAGGAAACCATCTGTCCCAAGGACTAAGGATGAGTGGCCACGGCACAGCTCTAGGCTCAGCTTCCCACTGATGAAGTGACTTCAGGCAAGTCATTCGTCCTACCTAGGCCTTAGTTCCCTCATCTGTGCAACAGGGACAATGCCTGTGTCCTCACCCAGGGTTGTGGAAAGGACAAAATGGGACATGTCTGTTGACAGCACTTGAGAAACTGCTCAGTGCGAGGCCAGTGCTGTCCTGCTCTTCCGGTTGTCTAGGAATGTCTCTGCCCCTCCTGCCCGCCGGGCTGTGGCCTCCCCAATCTGTGGTCTCTGCTCTAGGGCGTGACATCTGGTCTTGCTCATCTCTAAGGAGCCTCTGCTCTGCTGTTCTGCTTTGCCCGTGTTGGTCCCCACTGACCTGTACTCTGCTCCCCAGCCTTTGACGAAGCTCATGCGGATGGTGCACATTCGAGTCAACTGGTAGACAGCCTCGAAGCCCTGGTTGACAGACTGAGCCAAGAGGGCGGCGAACTCCTGGTTGTTGAAGATCTTCAGGTTGCATCCTGCCCAAAACGACAGTGCTGCTGGGAACAGAGGCCTGTACACGCCCGCTGCTCCCCTCCCGGCTAAAGCAATCCCCAGATCACTCGGCTCAAGTGGCACCTGGTCGTCTGAGGCATTAGCCGCATACTCCATGCTTGGCACCATGCCACAGATGGGCCTACCCAGTGCCTCCTCTCGAATCTGTCACCACCTCACTGAGGATGTGCAGCTGATGTGCAGGAGGGAAAATCAAAGGCTGGCCCACAAGCTCCGCCCCTCCAGCTGTGGGCCTGCTGAGGACCCAGGGCATAGTTTGGAGAGGTAAAGGGGCCAAGGCCTTCCAGGGAAAAGAGAGGAAAGGGACCTGAGCCTAGATGTCCATGCTGTCCCAGGCATGATCACCCCCCTGGGCACTGGCGCTCTCACGTTGGTGGAGGAGCAGGGCGGGCCAGCAGAAAGGCCAGCTGAAAGCTGCGGGACCTAACACCCCGTAGGAAGCTCAGCAGAAGGTCGAGGCACTGTCCACCTAGACTCTTCTGACGGATCTGCCTCATGCTGGGGCCAGGAAAGGGGAGAGATCTGGGTCACACTTTGGCCTCTGGGCACAGACTGGGTCGAGGTGACATTCCCAGCAAAGTGAAGGTGTGTGTCTAATTCTCCAGACAGTAAAACTAGAGACAGGCACAAATAAAGTTTAAAATAAACCTCCCACTGCCTGAGTGCCAAGAATGCGTCAACCAGAAAAATAAAGACCAACGCACACGCCAGAATAACCGAAAGGTGAGGCGAGGTGACACCTAGGAGTGGGCCAGCACCAGCGCCCGATCTTGCTGCATGTCTCTGGGCCGGTCACAGAACCTTTTTTGGAACCTTGTGTCTCTAAAATGGGGAGTCATTGGAGGTTGTCCCTGTTGTGATGTTCTGTGAGCTGACAGGGTCCACTTGGCCCTCACCAAAAAGATGGGGGAGGCCAGGGAAGGAGTGGGCAGAATGCCAGGAATGTCACTGATCTTCCTCTCCTTCCCCTTCTCTAGGGGACATGTGCTGGATCAGGGCTGAGACTGCTCTCCAGCCCCCATCCCCACCCTCTACCCTGCAGAGCTGAGAAATAGAAGAGCACTAGGCGGGAGTCAGCTAGTCTTAGGCTCATCCAGCTCGGCTCCTTCCTAGCTGTGTGTCCTTAGGCAGTTGGCTTAACCCCTCTGAACTTATTTCCTTAACTGCCTTATTAGTAGAGCCAGAGTAACTGGAGAAGATTAAATGAGATCAGATATAAAAATGCACTCTGTAAATGCAACCACAAAAATGCTCGGGAAGTAGGCCACTGTTAAAATTTCAGGTTTTCTGCATTTTAAGTGTATCCTGCTCAGGTCTACTGTCATCTCCTACTCAGCAAGCAGGAAGAGCCATGCCACCCATGTGCCATGGGCAATGACCTGGCCCAGGCCACATGCTCTAGCAGCCAGTCACAGCCCACAGTCTATTGGTGCCTGCAGTGTGAGAAGTGGGCTTTGGCTGGGCTTCCACTGGGATATTTGAGGTAAAGAGGCCTTGGGGTGGGACGGGGGCAGAGCAGCCTCCTACCTGACCTTGCTGTCCAAACTCCACCCTGTCTAAACCATCTTACAGGGTGTCGCCTCACACACATGCTCGGGGTCCAGGTAGAGTCATCAGCCTCGCTGAGAAAACCAACAGTTCCACAGGATAAAACCGAAACTTTCCTCCCATCTTCCCATGGCCTGGTCCCACCAAGTTCTTCAAACATTTCCTTCTTTTACACAACCCCTCCTCCAATCAGAGTGTCCCCTAAGTGTCCTGCCTTGCATCACCTCCATGCCTCTGCCTGCAATGCCCTCTGGGGCTCCATGCCACCACCCTGTGCCTATCCCAATGGTTAAACCACCCTCTCCCCAGGTGCTGGGCACCCCGCCCTGTGTTAGACTCTTCTGTCTCTATCATACCCACCCCACAGGTCTGCAGACAGGTAGCCCAGGGGAAAGGCAGATGTCCCCGATGCTGCCTCTGCTCCCTGGAGGACCAGGGAGAGCACAGGAAGATGCGGGCATGCAGAGAACCCAGCCAAACGCCTTCATGCTGACAGGGCGGACCCTGATGAGGAAACACGGCTGGAAAGAGGGACTCTCCAGCACCCTGGATGTGCCATCAAGATGGACACCACATTGGGGAGGCTTACCTGGTGGGATCTTGCAGACGGTGGCTGGATGCCAACCGTAGCGCTGGTTACAGTTGGGAGACTGGACGAAGATGGCGCTGTCGCTGAGGCACTCTGCGAAGACTTCCCCTCCGATGTAGTAGAGCCGCACGCCTCGCCCTGGAGATGTGGGGAGATGGATCAGGAGCCTGTGCCCACACCGCAGCCCCAGGGCCCGTGGAGACTGGCAAAGAGCACAGAGCTGCAGTGGCTACCCCAAGGGACTGCCAGCTCCCTTCACCATGGGACCCAGAGCCCAACTTGAAACCCAAGCAGGGAAATCACAAGTGACACTGGATTTCTAAAGGGGGGGGAGGCAGAGAAATAAGAGCCCGTGATAACCTCAGTGACAGTTTCTGCCACTGGCTAGCCATAGGTCTCAGTCACATTATCCCACCTGGGGGCTGAGCTCCTCTAGAAAACGGGTAGAGACGTCACTCTCAACAGCTGCTGTGTGACATACTGCAGGTGCCTGGTGAGTGACAGCTGCTGTCCCCCCTCTGACCACACCACCACTCTGCTCCCTCCCTGCCCCAAGATTCAGAGGGTCACTCGTAAACCTGCCAGGCTCCTGAGGCAGCAGACCCTCTGGGAGCCCTCTGCTGCAGGAATGGTGTGACGCCATCCCTCCCGGCGTGTTTCTGAAGAGACCACAGGGTCACATCATTTACTTTTCCTTCATCTCTTAAATCCACTCCAGATGGACAGAAATTATTTTTAAATTGCTTCTGCAGTTCCAACAGTTAGATAAACACTCCGACAAGGAGCTCTCTGCTCAGCCAGGGGATGCGCCCTTATGCACGGGAAACTCTCCGCTCCTGAGGAGCAGGCCCAGAGGGCCAGAAACGCAGCCAGGTTTTCCAGGCTCAGTGGCAAGTGGGTTGAAACCAGGCGACCGACCTGTATACCATTCCATGTCCCTGTTTCTCCCTCTAATCCCCACTACTCCCATTTCTTCTCATCTGGGTCCTATAGGACTGTGTGCTGGGGCCCAGAGTCCACAAGGAAGGGCAAGAGCACAAGGAAGGCAGCCGGGATGGGAGTAGAGAGATCCGGACCAAGAGACCGCATGCCCTAGCCCGCGGCCTGCAAGCTCTTCTCTCCACTGCAGGAACTTCTTTTCAAGCCAATCTGAGAGAACTCAGAGGAAGCCAGCAAGAGCAGAGGTACCCTGGGGCAGGTGGGGACAATGGCCCTTGCTGCTGCCCCTGCCAAGCTCCTGAGTTTGTCCCCAGAGCCTCTTGGCCAGCCCTCGGGGCTTCAGGATGATGGCTGAGGATGTCCTACCACATTATCTCCGTAGCCCTTCTGGGGGGCAGCAGTCTGTGACCCTGGATGGTAAAACCATGACTGTCCTTAGCGTAACCTCCCAAAGGAACCAAGACCATGCGGCTGTGTCTTCCCTGAACCCACAATGCTCCTCTCCTGGTGCTGGAACACAGCACGCTAGTAGTTGTATTTGAGTTGTGGACATTTCTTGGCTTTGAACCTTTTTAAAATTATCTAGAATATTCACATAAGAAGTTTAACAAATGAAAAAACCCTCCTCCAATAGCGACCACCTACTTATCAACCTGGCTGTACCTCAAGGGATATTTATTAAAAGATTCGTACACATTACCTTCCCCACAGACTTCCTTTCCTTGTCCCCTAAATGAGGTGTTCTCCTCCTTGGCTTCTGAGTTTTCAGAGATTATCTGCATCTCTGGGTGGAAATGAGTTGAACTCCAAGGAGACTGAACCCTAGCTGTCTGGCGTCTAAATGGAGCAAGAGGATCTGGGGGCCAGGATAGATGAGTGAGTCCTATCCCCACATCCCAGCAGGAGGCTGAGCACAGCCAGGGGAGGCATGCAGAGGCTGCTCTGGGCCAGAGGTGGGGACAGCATGGCCATCCCATTACCGATGTGCCTCCGCGTGAGCTCCACGGCAGCGTTCCTGTTGACATTGGACAGCAGGCCTAGGCAGAAGCGCTCGGAGTTGGAGGGGTCAGTGAAGCCGTCCACCGTCATGGAAGGCTGCGAGGCATGGAATGTCTCCCCGACGCGCTGGTTCAGCTCGTAGTAGGAGATGGAGCACCAGAAGGCTGGCTCGCAGTAGGTGACTGGCTGCAGGTCTGCAGAGACAGAAGCCTCAGGTCAGGGCCTCAGGCCCCCTGCTCCCAGGGCCATCTGGTTATTCGGGGTGTATCTTTATGAGCTGCTGCCTGTGAGCATCCTAATGATCCAACCCGACCATGAGGCCCAGAGCCCATCCCTCCTCCCTTGCGTTAGCTCTTTGGCTCTGATGGGAGAAGCAAGATGGCTGGCTGTGCCCAGGTCCCAGCACTGGCCTGAGAACCCCACCCACTGTCTGTCTGGCAACTTGTGGGATCAACAGATCTCGAAAGGTGCCAAGCCTTAGAGAAAAATCAGAAGCAGTGCTGCCCACAGGGAAGAGCCTGGGTGACCTGCCGACAGAGAGGCCCTGAGCTTCAGGAGTCCAGGCACACAGTCCCTTCTATAGGTGAAGGGACCTGAAGAAGAGATGCAGACCACTGCCAGCCCTGCCCGGCACATACTCAGAAAGTGCCTGCTGGAGGATCAGGCCACCCCCAGACTGGGTTCCTCGGCCTCAGCACCACTGACTTTTGGGGCCAGACTGCTGTTTGGAGGAAGGGGGCTCCACATGTCACAAGGTGCTTAGTGCCCTTCTGGCCCTACCCATGAGATGCCAGTACCATACACCCCCCTCCCCCTCCCAAGAGGTGACAATAAAAAATGTCTCCAGGCACTGCCAGCTGCTTTGCAAGGGGTAAAACTGCCCTGGATGCTTGGAGCAGCGCAGGCCCTCTCTCTGAGCCCCAGTTCCCACTGTGCCTTGGTCTGGGTACAGAGGCCTCTTTACCACCAGGGCTGTGAGTGGGTGTGCCAAGCTGGCTCACGGAGGGGCAGGCACATGTCAGGCCTGTGATGTGAGGTGTCAAGAATTGCCCACCCTCCACCTCTGGAGTGGCAGAGCACCCTTGCCCTTCTAGGCAGGGAGCAAGGGAAGATGAGGTTGAAGGCAGAGGTCTAAGCTGCCTAATGGGGAAGGGAGGAATGACGAGGCAGGGGCAGCTGTGGCCTGTGCCCTGGCTCCTGAGGTCGGGCTGAGACACGTCAGCCACATCCGGCTCTGGCTTTGCTTGATGCTTCAGCATTCCAATGAGATAAGCGATATTCTAAACACTGTGGTCACTAAAATGTAAGCTATGTTGCTTTGGAAACTTCAAAAAGAAAAGAAATCCAAGTGCAATCCAAGCATGCAAAGTGGTCAGGCAACACGTCAGGGCTTCTGGCTGCCCAGGTGCAGGCTCTGCTGACCTTGCTGTGTGAACTTGGGTACGTGACTGCCCTCTGTGGCCTCAGTTTCCTAGTCTGTACAATGGCTAGTGCACCAGAAGACACCCACAGCAAACTATCTAGGTCACTGTGCTTCTGGCAGGGGTCGGCCTGAATAGGCAGCTTTGGCTGATGTGGGCCAAACTTGGCTTGCTCAGCAATGTGGAGAACAGCACACAGGCCTCACCTCCAAGGCATAAAGCCCTGCCTAGAATTCCCCAGGCCTGGTACAGGTAAAAAGAGACCAAGCTAGGTTCCCAGAGACAGTGACACACCACAGCCAAAACGAGCAGGCAGTGTATCCCCTGCAGAACATGGTCCCAAACCAGGCTCTGGGAAGTGTGGGCTTCGGGGAGTCTGAGTCCAAGAGGCCCTCCAAGCAGATCTGAGCCCTTCAAGTTGCTGACACACACTGGACACATCAGTAGGAAGATTTGGGGAAGTGGTGTCTTTAGACCAGTGTCAAAGTTTTGAGGGTTTCCATGGCAGAGCCAGAGCCATGGTCCTGCCATGTGCTTGCTTTTCTCTGCAAACAACTGAAAGATGCCCCTGCCTTCCATTTCTCCACTCCCATCAGCTCCTAGCTGCTTCCTAAAGGCAATTCTGCAAGAGAAGCCATGGACACAAAAGTATGGCCACCACCTCTGGGTTCTTCTTTCAATGGAACTTTCTTTTTTAAACTATATATTGCCCTTGTTTCTTTTCCACCAAAGGCTTTATCCACATCATGCTAAGTATGAGAAATACAAAGTCTGGACTCTGGAAAGGAAAAAGCTATGACTGGGATAACCACAAAGTTACTTATAGTCACTAAAAGAACACTAGGCCCTGAGCTTCCTAGCAGCCAAAGTGAAAAGAGAACATAACCTGTTTCATGGCTCTGGTTGACAAATGCACAATGCTTACTAGTTCCCCAAGGAAAACAAAACTTGTCCTGGCATGAAATCTTAAAGGTCATCTCTCAGGGGTAGGTGGCAATCCCTCTCCCATACCAAATAAGCCAGCAGGCCCTGGTTTCAAGAGTTTAGATGCAGAAGCAGTTCTACATGTAAGACACTATTGGAAGGCTCCTCTGGGAAAATACCTATGAGGGGGTTCAGTGACGTGCCCCTTGGAGGGCAGTTTTGCTTCTCCAGGCCAAGGAGAAGCCTAGAGTGGAAGAGGAAGTCATGTGCCAAGGCCTTGCCTTCAAACAGCCCTGCTCGCAGCCACACTGCCTCGTCTGTGAACCTCCCTTCTCAGAGCAGAGGTGTCGGGGATGCAGGACCCTCCAGCTCCAGCCACCCTGCCGCCACCCCCTGTGGAGTGTCAGCCAGACTTCTCGGGTAGCATGGGGCAGGGCGCTTAATTCTCAGCTGGCCCCCTACCAGGCTAACGCGTTGGCTGGCTTCAGGTTTGCGCCTTGTTCCAAGCTGGCATAGACGTTCTGTTTTGTTTAAGGAAAAGAAAACAGAATAAAACCCAGAAGGCAACGCTCGGATTAAGGGATGCCTATTAAAAACATGTGCAAAAGATTCAGATCCGGTAAAGGGAAAGGTGGGGGAGGGGCAGGGAGTTAACTCTCTACTGCAGGGGGAAGCTGCAAATGGGCAACAGCCAGGCCAGCTGGCACCACAAGGCTCAAGGTCAAAACAAGTGGACTGGCCACGTCTGGGTCTCCTCACCTGCAGAAGACAGCTCTGCCTCCGTCGGGGAGAGTCCGCACTCCAGTCCCACACCCATCCTGCTGCATCTCCCACTCTGCTGTTCCCTCTCCCTGGACCGCCCTTCCCCTCCGTCTGCACGGACCTGACCTGGAAGGCCCAGTGAGTGTGCCTTAAACATTCCCTCCATGCGGAGTGGCCCCCATGTCCCAGCCTCCTGGGTAAGGAGTCGGCTGCATAGTGGGTTAGCGCCCTACAGGCCCAGGCCAGCTATGTCCCCAGCATCCAGGGCAGCAATTCTGACCTCTCTCCAAGGATCAGAGCAACAACCAATTGTGCACAGAAAGAACCCTGCGTTCTTGATCCTGCAACCCAACTACCACCAGTCCTGGTGGTAAAGTCTAAGCCGGACCCTGGGGAGGGTGACTTCCTGTCCTCACGTGGCCTGCGTGTGATTTCGCAAGCTTAGGGAAGACTGGAGCCAGAGGCAGCCCTAGGAAAACGGCTTGTGCAGCAGCATGAGGACACCTGGCACCAGGTCATTGTGACCTGGACCCCTGTCCTTTTCTCCAGGGCTGGTGGCCTTCCACTTCCCAGCAGCCCTGCCACCCACCCCTGCCTCTGTCTCCTGGCAGAGAGGAAGGCTCATTCTGCCTGCGGCACTCTGGGAAACCATCCCCTCCTTAAACTCCAGCTCGACCTCTCCCAGGACACTCCCTGGGACCTCATTTTCCTCAGTCAAGCCGCTCCCTAAATGTCTCACTTTAACGCAGGGAACAACTTACTCACCTGGCAGGACCCAGCGCGTTACCTTTCTCCTCTCCCTCCATCTCCATTTGCCCCAATCCTACCAACACAAATGCCCAGGAAACTCCAGGTGACTCACCAAGCACAACACGTACTCAGAGAAACGTCACCTGCTCTTGTCCCTTTCCCTGCAAAACAAAGCTCCTGGGCTCCAGATGCCCAGCGGGGCCTCCCCTGCTTGGGGGCTCCTCCTCCAGTCACCAGGCTCCTTGCCAGAAGTGGCTTTACTGTGGCAGGACACTCAGTCTTCCCCAGACCTAAGCCCAGGACCCATGCCTGGGGGGGGGAGGAAATCAAAGAAGCCGGAAGTCCTTTCATCCTTGTTGTATAATAATTTTGTAATAATTTCTTTAAAGGACATACTGAGGTCCAGGTCACAGATGCATCCCGTCTCCTGCCTGGGGAGGAGACCTCAGTGTCTCAGTGCACACTGGCCAATGCAGCCTGTGGATCCAGGCTCAAGACCGGCTCACAGACACCCGCCCCTGCCAGCCGCGCTGCCCTACAGCATGCGTCCCTCCCAGCTGCCTCGCAGCAGCGGCTGCCTCCTGGACTTTGTGCTTTTCCTCTAGTAATTCCCCCCAGCAGTTCCACTGTGGAGGGTGATAAACCCCCTCACCACCTGGAGCCCACTACCAACTTCATTCTGTAGGCAGGAGGGCCAAGGGGACATCACGAGCCCTTTCAGCCTCCTCTTTCCCAAGTCCCCCAATGTGCCACCCAGCACAGTGCCGGTTATCCTTGAACACGTCCTGCCCTCCCATCTGAAGGTCTCTCCCTCCTTTTGGCCTCACAGTAGCCACCTGTCCTTCAAGTTCATGCTCACATGTGTCACATGGCTTCAGTGGTCCTAGCCCATCATATTTTCCTCCTGGCACACACAATCCCCTTCCTCTGCACTTGTTCCCTTGGCACCTGGAGCAAGGTATCACAGGTAAACATGGATCCCTGGCCACCTCAGCAGGCTGTGAATGCCCAAATGTCGCCCCCACTCTGGACCCCAGTATTCATGAACACTAGGAACTTGGCAAATGCTGAGGATAGGATATTCCTGGTCGGACATTCCCACGAAGGCCCCGGTGTTGACCTCTGAACACTCCCAGTACTTTCATCTGCATTTACCTCTTGTTTTATAATTGATTATAATCCCAACTTATCAATCCCAACAAGGCCATTGACCTTGACAACAGGGTCTAGGATTCTCCCTCTGGTCCCCCCACCTGGACAGGCACATGGTGGCCAGACGGAAGTACCTAGGGAATGAACGAGGAAGACAGGCAAGCTGGCAGGGCTCCTACCTGGGGGCCATAGCCTGTTGCCTGTCCCTTCTGGAACCTTATTCTCTGAGTGAGGCAGGTGGGGACAGCTGGTCCAAATGGCCCAGCAAGGCAGAGTCCTGCTGCCATGGTGGTCATGCTATGGATTAAGGAGGATCCAGGATGAATGAGTCCACCCTATTCTATGGTATCCTAATTTATAAAATTAAAAGTTAAGAGTATGCCTCACAGAGTTGTTATGAAGATTAACACTTATGAAGCAGTTGAATAGCAATAAACAGAAGTTCTCAGGAAATGCCAGCCATTGTCACCATCACCCTCACCTTACCCCTTCCCACTGTGGTGCCTCGAATCTGTGATAACTCTCAGGTAGGTTCTGAATGGAAAAGTGGGCGCAGGGACTCGTCCAGCAGAGAGGAGGCTGGGCCTGCCGGCACCAGTGTCTCCCCTGGTCCTGCTCTTGACTTGCTGGCTGACTCGTCCCGATTCAGACCTTCCTGGCAGACGAGTAACTAGGCCAGTATGAGTGGCCTCCATGCTCCACGGGCCAGCTCAGGGATGTTCCTGCCTTTGTCAGAAATGACCTAAGAATCACCCACTCTCAGATAAGCATGTGAAGAAGGGGCAAGGGTCCAAGCTTGACTCACCCCTCATCCTAGACTCCATGATCTAAGGGTGGTCCCTGCTAACTGCCACCTGGGACAGCTTGCTAAATGGCTGAGCTGGGCAGTGACCACCTCCAACCTGCCCTGTGACCTCTGGTTTCAAAGCCAAGGGCTGACCCCAGAGTCTGTTGGCTGAATGTGCTGCCTTGACCATAGTAGGGTGAACAGAAAATAAATCTAAACCAGCTCATCTCAAAAGCTGAAAGCCAGAGTTAAGCGTGCCGTCGTGGCCTTTAGTTTCTCGAGTGTTCCCATGGCTTCGGGCCTCCTGAGTTTGTTTTTAAGAACTCAGTCCTTTCCTATCAGGAACATGACCTTCCCTCTGCAAAGCCCAGTGCTCACAGTGAGATGTTAAAACAGATCCCCCAAAGTCACATGTCACTCTGCCCACATGGTAGCTTGTTTAAAGTGCTCCCAAGCACCTCCCAATACTCCAAATGATGAATTTTATCTGACACTCTCGGTCAAGGTCTGAAAACAAGCGGGCCCCAAAGCCAGTCCAGTGCACTCTGATTCACCACATGTGGACATTAACCATTGCTCTTCCTGAGCCACAGAGTAAGTTCCAGCAATAAAGCTTCAAACGAAATCCAAATCACATTTTCTAACACTACTAGCCCAGAAGACCAGAAACTCCCTTCCATAAAAATGACACAGACATTTCCTCTGTTTTGAGCCCTTCAAAATAGGCTCCACGCTGAAGCCACAAGGACTCCAGAAGCCTGTCCCAGCCTGAAGAACTGAAGGACACTGAAGGTCACTGGCAGAGTGACCCTTAGAAACACTGAGCCAGAAGCCCAACAATGCAGGGGTGCTGGGGAAATGAGGGGCCAGCTGCTCAAAAACATCATGAGGTAACGCAGAGTGGTAAACTAGGCATCTAAATATGGAAACACGTTTGCACAACAACAGAGAAGACAGGAAGGCACCAGTCCATACATGCTGGATCCCAGACAATCTGGCTGGTGGGATCATGGGCCCAACCTCCCACCCCTGCTTATATGTTGCTGTTTTAATAAAAAGATAAATTATAGCAAGATGAAATATTCAGATAAAATCCACATGCGTGTATCTGAAGCAAGTCCGTGAACGCCGGTGGGTGGAGTTGCACAGCCGCCGTGGCTTTGCACCAAACCACACGTATGTGCTTGGCTCACCACAGACCCTCGTCTCCTGGGCCTAAGCTCTGGGGGATTTTCATTCACTCACGTCCGACAGCCACTCAGGTGAAATACAAACCCGGCACATGGTTGTCTTTTCTGCCACCACTGTCTCAGGTTTCCCCGTTCTGAGGTGACCTGAGTCACTATAACCAGAAACCTGAGCGGCTGAGCTGGGCAGATGGTGGGGTGAGGGGCTGGGAGCCCCACCTTCAGTGTAGCAGCCGGGGGGGGGGGTTCCAGGCATGGGACAGAGATACTTACCCAGGTTATTGTGTGCTGGGGACATCGGATTTGGGGACAGATTTGGAGAACCTGAAAGGTGAGACACAGTGATAAGACTTCATAAAAGATCCAATGGGGAGAGCCCAGACTGAGCGCCAAGTCCCAGAAGGTGACCTAACCTCAAGTCCCAGAAGGTGACCTAACCTCATGCCCTGGCCCATGCTGCCCACCCTGGGTGGAACGAGGGTTGATGGGGTGATGATCTCCGAGGCCTCCTCCACACAGATGGGTTTAGGACCCTAACCAGTGCTCCAGCACCGGCCTACTGCCTTCTCAACTAGGTAGGTGGCATCTTTTTCTTCAGCTTACATGACCTCCCTGTTACCTAGGCTTCCAGGAAAATAAGGGGAGCCTAAGCCCCGCCCACAGCCCCAGGTGGTGGAAGGCTGGCCTCCCGCCCCAGGTGACCCAGGCATCCCCAGTTCTGCTCTCAGTCCTTTATGCTCAAGAAATACCAATCTTAGGACACTGACAGGTCCTGCCTCAGAAATCCTGCAACTCAGCAGCTAGATTGATCTTCTGTGCAAGACAGGGGAGAGAGTGCGCATAGGGAAAGTCCAGTTCCTCCTAATTCATACTCTGACTTTTTTCTCCATCCCAGAGCCCCCTTCAAAGAAATCCAGTCGCTGCCCCTTCACAGAGCACCGTCCTGCTGGTCCCCTTTGTTCCTGTATGGTTGAGGCTACAGGAGTTATTGATTTCTTAATATCCCTGGGGCGTAGATTTCCAGCCCCCTGAACCAGGCCTGGAGGCTGTCCTTGCACCTGGCCTCAAGCACATGCTTCCTCAAGCTGCCTCTAGAGGTCTTTTATTTCAACCCAATGAGCTGTAACCTCCTTGAGGGCAAGGCATGAGCCACAGAGTTCTTCTCCAGGGTGGTACCTAATCCAAATGGAGACACTGAACAAATCACTGCAAGATCAACATTTCAAAGTCAGTCATGGGGTTTGGACACACCACCATGTACCAGCTGTGTGACTTTGGCAAAGTCCTTTAACCTTCTAAGACTTCATGTTCCCTGGGTGTGAAGTAGGGATAATATCATCTACTGGGTGACATGTAAACATGGAGGTTGTGCATATCAAAATGCTCATGCCGTGATTGGCACACCGTAGGCACTTAATAAATGTTCATTTCTAATCTGTGGTGGCCTGAAGGCTGTGGGACCTTCTCACTGCTCTGAAAGGTGCCCACGCTGGCCAGGGAGACCCGTAGTGAACAGGTAACCTGCTGGCCTGAGACACTGCCACGCCTCACACGGGAGGGAAGTCAGGCCCTGAGCAACTGAACTGGGATCCAAATGGGGAACTCTGAGGAAGAAGAGAGAATAAATAGGAGCCCTCTACCCAACCACGCACAGGCTGACCCGGGGCCACAAAAGCTAGTGTCACCTTTAGATACATCACCATAGTGCCGTGTGGGCAGAGGAGAGAAAAAAAGAAGGAACCCAGAAAGGGGGAAGAAGGGAAGAGAAACCAGGGAGGAGAGGGTGCAAACACGCTGCCCTTCCTATCTACATCCCTCCCCTCTGAGCTCTGTTTGTTTACAAGAGTAATCATTCTACAGATATGGAGAGCAGCGAACGGGGAGGAGAGAAAGCAGAGTGACAAGAAATCTAGCAGCTGGAGAGAGACCGCTTAGCTGGCCCACTTCCCATGCCAGCCTTTAATAGCTGCAAGCCTGCAGCGGTCACTTGGCATTGAATGCAGGAAGGTCTTCAGTGCACTCCAGCTGGGTCCACATGGCCAGCCACTCACCAGGGTGGGTGTGTGTCGGGGCTGAGCTCAACCCCTAAGTGCCACAACACCCAGGCTGGATTTCAGCGACTACGTTTACAACACATTTGTGAGCCCCTTTCATTCTTTGGGGAATTGCACAATCCCTTCTGGGCCGTGTGCAGGGGCAGGTGGCTCCGCCGTGTCTAGCAGCTCTGTGTGTACAAGGCATGCCCGCCACCGTCAGAACGGAACATCTGCTGGGCTCTCTCCTCCTCCTCACCCAGCCACACACAACGCCGCACACATTCTATGTGGCAGCTGGGGTTCAGTTCAAGAAGCTGCTGGTTTGTGGCCAATTGGGTCCCATAACAAATGACGTGAGAAACATCTGGAGATGTGGCAGGAGAGAGCTAGGCTGGATCCCTCCTGGTAGGAGCACTGTGATCACATTTGACCACCATAAAAAATAGCTGCTTCTGCAGCCGTTGGAGATCTTTTTCTCTACCCACGCTGCCTCTCCTTGCTTCTCACCTGAACTGTTCCGGTGTCTCAGCCCGGCTTCCACCTACTGCCAGCAACATCTCACTGAGGCACAGGCCTGCGTAAGGCCTTCAGCAGCCCCCATCAGCCCTGGGCTGCAGGCCAAGTGCTCTGCCTGGCTGGAAGATCTGCAGCTTGAAGCCCACATGACTGGCCCTCTGTCATCCTCTCTGGATGGAGCATGCCAGCCCTACTGAGCAACCTGGGCTGGATATCCCTGGACTCAACCGCACTGAGCTCTCCCTGTCCCTAGAATGCACCAGGCTCTCCCATTCAGGACCCCTACAAGTCTGCCTGGTGTACCCTTTGCCCAGTCGGATGGCATGGCTAATGCTTATGCATCACCAAGACTCAACTCAGGAAAAAGTCTACAGTGCAAGGTACACTTCCTTCCCTGACCAGGTTAAGTGACCTATTTTGTGCCCTAGCTGACACATTGTGACTTCCATCCGGGCATATATGAGACAGCCTAGTAACGGCTGACCAACTTCTCTGTCTCCAATGATGTGTAAGCTCAGCATTTGCCACATAGTGGTTACTCTATAAACACTGGCTAGAGAGGAGGGAGCGAAGGGTGGTAGGGAGGGGAAGGGCGGGCAGGAGGAGCCACTCTGCTGAGACTGTGAGTACGCCTCCACCAACTGACCTGCGTCCATGCTGTGGTTCATCTGGTGGTCGCTGGTCTCTCCATCTTCACTCAGGTAGCCAGGGGGTGGGGTCTCTGGAATCAGAAGGTAGGTGGCCCATTAAATGGTTTGCATAGCTTGGCCCTGGTACACCGTTTGCAAATACATCAAGCGTTCACGTTACTACCCAGAATGGGGTGCTGGAGGAACACGGCCCAGGAGTGAAGGTGGCCACTCCTGGATTCTGCCTGCTCCGCCTGTCTGGATCAGACACAGCATGCCGACGAACTCCCAAGCCTGAAATGCCTGTTCCTAGAGCTGCTGCCAGACTAACTTCTGCCTGTTCTTCAAGGTCAGGTTAACCCCACGCCCTCTGGGGAGGCTTCTGGGCTTGCCTCAGCCTCCCCCATCTCTGGCCTCTGGAGAGCTGTGCCCTCAAGCCCGCCCCTTGGCCCCTGCATCTTCCCCTGCAGACCGCTGCTGTCCGCTGCTGTCCATATTTGTTGTCTCTAGGGATGTGGCCCAGCGCCCTAGGGAGGCTGCAGTTCGACAGTGGCGGAGACTGTGCTCTCCATTTCTCTCACACTCCTCCAGACCCTGCTTTAGCCTCCAAGGTCTGCCATCCCAGGAAGGAGACTTACCCCCAGACCAGAGCTACCTGCAAGGATCTGAAAGGGCTGGATAGGGGGCCTCTCCCACCCGCTCTGACCCGAGCACACAGGCTGGGCCACGCTCAGCCAGTGAGCTAAGCCAGAGTGAGAGCCACGTCCAAATTAGACCGCTCTAAAAGGAGCGCAGCTGGATGACTGCCCCAGCAAGCAAAAGTCGCTGTGGCTGGCCCAAGAGTGGCCAAGTACAATTCCCCAGGACGCCAAGAGTTCTGGTGATTCACACATTATTTGCCTGTCAATGAGGGGCTTCTCAAAACATTTGCATTCTTTGACAGGGGAGCCCTTTTCTCCCAGCAGGCAGAGTAAAAACTCCAACTCGGCCTCAGCTCCCACCCAGGCTCTAACCCTTCCCAGGTCTGAAGCCCAGGCTACTTCCAGGGCCCTGAGCTCCTCTACTCCGCAGTCCGCCCTGCCTGCATGCCAGCCCTGGCCTATGGACCTGCGTGAGGGCGGCCGAGAAACACAGTGCTGCTATTTCCGCTTCCAAAATAAATGAGTGCACTGAGGCTGGGCGGAAGGGTCACGCTGCCCCTCGTGCCAAGAAAAGCATCATTAGCCAGCGGGGAGCTGAGGCCACAGGTCCTCTCCCAGCAGGGATGCGGGTCTGAGTCGGGGCCCAGGGCCTGCGTTTTGCACAGATAGAGGAGGACAGGGAGTGGGGGGAACAGAGCAGGCCTGGGGCCACCCTGCCTCCCCAGCCCGCCCCTGTCCCTATGAATACCTGGAATATTGCTCTGGGGCTCGATGCCAGCGGGGAAGTTGGTGTTCTCAGGGATGGAATGGCTGTAGTCGTCCAGCGGGGGGAACTCGGCCGGGATCTCTGTGTGCCGTGGCACCAGCACAGGAGGTAGAACTGTCCAAAGGAGACACAGCAAGGCCACTTAGCACCCAGGTAGGGCTGGCACCAAAGCCCCTGAGCCCCAGGCACACCACACACCCTCCCTGGGGACGGTGCTGGGCAGCCCAGGGGCCATACCTGGTGTCTCTACCCTCTGGTAGTGGTAGGGGTTCACGCAGACCTCGTCCTTCTTCATGTTGAAGGCGAATTCACACAGCTCCATGGCCCGCAGCTCATGGTGGCTGTGCAGGTCAGGCCATCGCCACAGGCGGCAGTAGATGACATGGGGGAGCCCCTTCCGATGGGACACCTGCAGCCGGCCATCCAAAGACCTGCCGGCATGGGGAGGGGCAGAAAGAGACAGCTGAGTGGGTTTGGCTGGCCTTCTCCAGAGCCCAGCCCCCTCAGCTCCAGCCCCGGGTTGGCAGACGCTCAGCACGACACCCTCCCCGCCTTCCTCTGGGCCCAGAAGTCCAGGAGATCAGAGCCGGGCTGTGCTGGAAGGGATCCTAGAAGAAGCAGGCGGCCCACCAAGGAAGACGCAGGGCCGCCACAGCCAGCAGAGCTGGCCTTGCCCCCCAGGGCCAGGGTGAGCTCCCAGGAGAGCCGGGGCTCCTCTTGGAAAAGATGCACTGAAGCCTGCTCCAAAAATGTCACTCCTCTGGCCCTGTTGCAGGCTAGAGGAGCAAGGAAGAGGGCTGGGTACAAGACAAGGCCAAGGTGGCAGGCAGAGTTGGTTCCACAGGGCCTGGGGGCTGTGACAGGGAGTCTGCCTTTTTAGTAAAAGCAGCTAAGTGGCCTCAAGGATGCTCATGGGGACTATGCTGGGGGCAGGTCCTGTGATAATTCTGGCTGAGAGTGACCAATCAGGTGGGGTTGAAGGTTGGAATAGGGAGCTTAGAAGGGGGTGCTCCTGAGTTAAGAGGCACCCTACCAAGGGGCAGTGCTGCCCTTTCCTCAAGAAGAGCATCGTAGGACTCCATCATTCAGGGAACGATTTTTCTCATAGCCGGGCGAGGCTGGCAGAAAGACAAGTGCTAGCTGTCCCCTTAGAACAGAGGATACCCATCAGTCTGAATAAACAGAATTTATGGGCACTCTGAAGGAGGGGCTCGCCAGGTACAACCAGAGGCCCCATCCAGAGAAAAACAGAGGGAATCAATCAAAGTCTAAGCCGTTGGCCTACGAATGGTGAGGGACAGGCAAAGGTCAGCACTGGGCTTGGCCATAGGGACAAACCAGGAGCTGCTGAGTAAGGGCATCTGGAGGCATCTGGAAGTATGTAATTACCTCCCTCCCGTGGGGCCCAGACCAAGGAACCCCTACAGCTGAAAACAGTAATTACCAGGCAGAACAAGAGAGGACAGCCTGAGACTTGCCCCTAAGGTACAGCGGGAAGACTGCCAGATGTAGAGTCATAAGGCCTGGGGTCAAGATGTGTTTCCACTTTCCCTGCTGCAAGACTCCGGGCAAGGCATAATGTTTCTAGGGCCTTCAGTTGCCTTGTCTGCAAAATGGAGACGTTCTCCCACTGCCCTGACTTCAGCGAAGCTCAGTGTCCATTTACAGATGCTCTGCAAAGCACCAACCAGCACAAACCTCCCAAGAGCCTCTCTCCACCTTGCTCTGGACAAGGGGGTGACCGAGAAAGAAAGGGAGAGTAGGAAGTGGTGAGAGGGGACAGAGAATTAGTCAGCCATTCTCACTCTCTTGCAAAGCCACCAAATGCCCACAGATAAAGGAAGTGGCCACATTTGCTCTTCAGGGTTTGACAAAAGCTCCAACAAAGGGCCAGCTGGGTGTTGTAGTCCCCTCTGCATGGAGTGCCCCTGGAGAAGAGCTCAGGCCAGCAGGAGAGAAGAACGAGGTCAGAGGGAGCCCCCATGTGGGTGCTGGGAGGAGGCGGCCACCTTTCTTTAAAAATAATGATACATGAATTATTCTGATGATAATTACATTTTTAGCAAGCCAGGGAGCTATGGTCATCAAGGCAGTGTAGAAAATAGTATGGAGACGGACAAACAGACCAGTGGAACCTGACAGAGTCCACAAACGGTCACACATACACAGACAAGTGATTTCCAAGAGCTAAGTGAGTGAAGAAAAGATGGTTACTTCAACAAATAGTGGTAAAACAAGTGGGTATCCACAGACAAGAAGAGCGAATGCCAACCTATACCTTGCATTCGCCCAAAATGTAATAGAAGAGGGCCACAGTGGAAAGCTGAAAATTACAAAACTTTGGAACAGACAAATATTTCCTGTACTGCATCAAAAGCACAATCCATCAAAAAGAAAGCTGAGAAGTTGGACTTCATCAAAATTTAAGCCTCTGATCTCTGAAAGACACTATACTATTAAGAGAATAAAAAAGATGGGCAGCCAACTGGGAGAAAATATTTGCAAAGCAAGTATCTGATAAAGGACCTGTTTCCAGAATAAAGAGCTCCAAAAACTCAAAAGAAACCAATTTTAAAATAAGCAGCAAATGATTTTTAAAAGATGCTATACAAAAAAAAGCTACCAAATACACCCATGAAAAGATGTTCTGTATCATTAGTCATTAGAGAAGTGCAAATTAAAGCTGCAATGAGCTACCACACCATTATCAGAATACCTGAAATTAAAAGGATTGTTTATGCCACCTGTTGGTGAGGAGGTGGAGCAGCGGGAACTCCAGAACCTTGCTGGTGGGGTAGAGAGACGGTTAGTGGGGAAAACAGTTCAGGAGTCAAAATATAAATGCACCCTATGATCCCCCCAGTCCTCAGCATTTACCCAAGAGAACTGAAAGCGCATGTCCAAGGACTGGCATCGGATGGGGTCAACACAAAGGCACACCCCTCTGCAATCAAGAAAGGACCGTTGATACATGTGACATTGTGCATGGATCCAAAACTGATTGTGCTGACTGAAAAGAAGCCAGGCACGATTCTGTTTGTGTAAAATTATAGAGTAATTTAAAGTAAAGCAAAAATACAAACTGTTCCATAGTGACAGAAAGCAGATTGGCAGTTGCCCAGGCAGGAGAGAGGGCGTGTGCAGGGGAGGGAGGGATGAAGGACCAAAGTGGTAGCTGTATAGGTATATACATGTCAATTTATCAAATTATGTGTGTGCGTATTTTTTTCTTTTCTTTTTTGGTACCAGGGATGGAACTCGGGTGCTTAACCACTGAGCTACATCCCTAGCCCTTTTATAATATATATATATATATATATATTTAAATTTTTTTAGTTATCAATGGACCTTTATTTTATTTATTGACACATGGTGCTGAGAATTGAACCCAGTGCCTCACACATGTTAGGCAAGCGTTCTGCCATTGAGCCACAACCCCAGTCCTATGTTTTATTTTGAGACAGGGTCTCGCCAAGTTGCTTAGGGCCTGGATAAGTTGCTGAGGGTTGCTTTGAACTTGCAATCCTCCTGCCTCAGCTTCCTGAGCCGCTGGGATTACAGGTATGCGCCAATGTATCTGTTTCAAACTGTATATTTTAAATGTGGGCAGTTCACTTGCAAATTATATCACAATTTCTTTAAAAAGGCAAGGGCCACACCTGAATTTGAATACAGACGCTGCGCTCACTATCTACGTAAAGCTGAGCAGATCACCTGCTGTCTCAGTCTTAGGGCTTCACTTTCAGTGGACTGGCGGGAGGGCAGAAAGCCCTTTAAAGCTGTTGGCAGGTGAGGAGGCTATGCACAGCAGCAACTGCCTTGTGACTTTGAGTAACTGTTGCTGCCTCGTTACTACAATGGCGCCTGATAAAGTAAGGTACACAGTAGGTGTTCAAAGATATTATTTTCCTCCCCACTCTGGCCATCTGAGTGCACAATTAGGAGGATCATGAAGAGAGGCCTCCCCTACGTGTCCTTTATTTGGCAGCACCCCCACTGCCATGCTGTGTGGTCAGTAAGGCCCCTCTCTGTACCCCTCAGACATCCAAGAGGCAAAGCTCAAATCCCAGGCCACATAGCAGTCTGCACCAGGGCTGCCTCTCTGGCTTCAGGCTGGGTCCTGATGCAGGACACAGGCACAATCTTATTCTCCCGCTCCTGAGCTCATGACCACCAGTCTGAATTGGCGGGATTTTCTAGAAGTCATTTGGTCTATGCTCCTGCTTCTGAGCCATCAAACTCTCATAACAGGAAGGGCATCTTGTTCACTTCTTTTGCATCAGTTACAACCCCTCTTGGTTCGGAGTCTGGCTGCCAGGGCCCAGAACCCTGGTGCTGTTCCTTCTTCCTCCTGGTCCCACTCAAAATACATACCAATGCTCAGCAAGATAATAATAGTGAATAGGGAGTTCCAGCTGCTGGATTTAGTACAGCTGATGTGTCCGGAGTACACCCTCCCAGCCTTACAGGGCACGGGGCCCACTAAGTAAGTCCAATAAATGAGTCTTAATTCTGAGCTAATGTTACCATAAACATGCTTAGTTGCAGAAAAGTGTCTATTTCTGACCCACTCTTTCTCTAAGCAGGTCCAAGACCAGCTGTTGGAGTTTTGAGAGTACAGTCCCAGGAGGCGGCCTTGGGCCTCCCCGCTAGTCACAGCCTCCATCTCTTCCCACACCCAGTGGCTTCCTAATAAGAGACCCTCAAACGTCTTTCTCCAGCAACTCCCTCAAGCTTTTCTGACAGAAGGTTTTAATCTTTAAATATATTCTTCACTAGCCAAACAATTTCCTGTGGCAGGAAATTAGGTTTCCTCCCATTGGCTCCAAGTGGGTCCCGTAAAGTGTCCCAAAATGGTGGTGGAGCCACAGCCAAGGATGTGGACATGCCAGAGCCCAGGGCCCCTGGTGAAGGTGCAGCCGGCCAGAGCGCTCCCCAGGGAAGAGCTGCAGCCAAATACCACTCCTGTCCCCAGAGCTGTGATCAGCCACCCCGCACCCTCATCTGGGGGACAGGACTGGGGCTCAGAGTTGGGGGCAGAACATAAAAGTTCCAGAAACACACCAAGAGCATGAACTATGTGCGCCAGGTACTGTCACCACACGAGAATACAAAACAGCCACCCCAGAGGACCTCATCCTGCCTGGTTCACAGAACTGAAAGGGACCCTCTGGGGTCCACAGCTCGCCCAAAGCAGGATCAGGTTCAAACCCAGACCAGTGCTAAAAAATGGGGGAGGGGGTGGGTGGGATGAAGAGAGCCTTCTATTGTCACACACCGCACAGACAGGGAAACCGACTCCTTGTCAGGCATCGGGTAGTTATTGAACACCTGCCATAGCCTGGGCACGGTGCCAGTGACTTGAGCCAAACCGGTGATATAAAGTAAAGGTGTCAACACCAGCGTCTTTCCAATGAAACGTATTTTAATA